TTAAAATGCAGATAATGATGACTAAGTCTGACTAAGAAGAACACAAGACAGCAATGTTATCCTTCCAGGCATAATGATTACGTTGAGAAATGAAAATTTTTTACCAAAAAAAACGATTTTTTACCAAGAAAAAACGCTGCTCGTCATTCGCGACGTGCAGTTTGATCTACTTAATTTAAAATAATAATAACTACATTAAATAATATTTTCTTCATAAATATTTTTACAGTAAATTTGACTTAGTAATAGTGATGCAAATGATGATTGAGATGTACGATGAGTTAGCCTTATCTCTTTAATTGTGTGATTGTCAGGTTTCTCGGTAATAAAAACAATAATGGAAGTATTGTGTTCAATTTTGTTAAATTTAGTAACATTTATTTAAGTTACAAAAATTAGATTTATTTAAAAATAAATAACTGAACGCTAATAAAGTTGAAAGTTCAATGATTGCCAAGCCATCTTTTAGAACCACCAAAAGTGCAAAAATATTATTATTGTAAGTTATTATAAATTATTATTAGTTATTATAAGTTATTGCAAGTTGATTATTAGCAAAGAAGTGAGAGGCCAGAACATGTAGCAGCAGCAGCAACTGCAACAGCAGCAGGAAACTATGATGATGATGGAAAGTCCTTTAATAGGAAATGGAAGCATATAATGTTTCCGCTGTGGCGTTCAACTTCTAAACGTAATATAACAAAACAAAGTTTTTCAAAACAAGATTTAAAAACGTGGATATATTTTCATTCACCGTTATTCGTGTACTTCATAAAAGCTTTTGACGACAAATAATGCTGTTCACCATTTTCAATAATTCGCTTTGTTTTCTAAAAATAGTTAAATTCAAATAATTGTGTTCTCTTGGATTTTACGTAAAGTTAAATAATGCGTGGTGGGATGGGTGACAAAGGAAACTTTGAGACTTAAGCCTTCCCCAAAGTAGAAATTGTTTAAGGGTTAAAGTTAAATTTAACAAAATTTCTATGTAAATTTTATGACTTTTGGTTTAAATTTTTTAAATTATTGCAGCCCCAAAGCAAAAACGGTATTCTGGCGAATCTGCGAAGCAAAGATAGGTTTTGATAAAAATTAAAAAATGTGGAATATGCAAAAAGTAAAAGCTTGTCAATTTTTTTTTGAAAAATCAGAGCTGGCCCCACCGAAAGTTTTTTCAAGACGACTTCAGTAGCGGTGCAAGCAGAAATATCAGAACTTGAGATTTTCCCGTGCTGATTACTCCCACCTTCTTCACCTGCTGCATCTTTCAAGAAAATATAAGATTGTTGTTTCTAGATGTTAGCCTGACATCTTCAGTTCAATTTTTCATTTTTTTTTATTTATTAACTCATTAAATTAATTTGCCTAAAATTATCTACCAGATAATCCTACCAAAATATTTTTTTGATTATCAAAAATTTAAAAAATGATAATGAAACTTGAAATTTAGAAATAAAATTAATGTAGGTAATAAATAGGTATACGAAAAAAATGAAGAAACGTGAGAATAAACACGTGAAGGCGTATGTACGTAAAGCATGTAGAAGGGCATAAAAGTGCACGCAAGTGTATAACCTGGAAACCTGTATCTATGTGATGTGATGTGATGGGATGTGGCGTGCCATCTGATGTGGTCACGTGATGTAATGACATGATGTAATCACGTGATGTCATGATGTGCCGAGATGCACTTAACATCAATTATGTCACCAACCACGCACACGCACAAAAACATTCAACCAACCAGAACTGACCACCTCCTCAATTCAAACATTCGTCCACGTCACACCACACCACACCATATTTCCAGTACATTCAACTCACACTATGCACAAAATAAAGTCCATAATAAAAGGGAGTGAACATAAAACACGTATGTACGTAAAACATGTAGAAGGGAGTGAACATAAAACACGATATTTCATACACAAAACACATAGAAACAACATGTAGATACGCACACACACACACACACACACACACACACACACACACACACACACACACATATAAACAAGGCAAGCAGATAGATACATTCGAACACACGCAGAACATTTACATTGCAGGACATGTCTACAAAGAGGTCCAAAAACATCAAAATCAGTGTACACTTGGAAAGTATTGAGCCAGCGCTTGTCTGTTGCTATTGGTTGCTGGCTGGATAGTTGTTGTTGTTGCTGGTGTTGTTGATGTAGTTATTGTCGATGCTGTTGTTGATGTCTTTTATGTTGATAATTTTAAAATGTATGCATTTGCCGTTTTCTATCGTTGCTGGTGTAGTTTATATTGTTGTATTATGGGCTCTACTTATCAAATAGGGTTTTATTGTTGTTGTAATTGCTGTTGTTGTTTATTGTTTTACATGTTATTATAAAACAGCGTTATTTGGTGTTGATGTTTGACATTGTTTTAAGCGGGTGGTTAAGTTTATTTCCTAATCACTGATGTGTCGTGCTATTTGTTAGTTGTTGTAAAAGTTCAGATATTTCGTAATGATATAAAAAAATATTTCATTTACTCCTGAAATATAAAAATATTAACGAGATAAAATTGCGAGCAAATGTTGATGTTTTAATTATTATCTTTATGATGTTGTAAGCTGACTGACGTCAAATTCTTTCATGTGACTTGCCAACTTAAGAATGTTCTTGTGCACATTTTTCAACGTCTCGCTGTCTTCAAGTCACAATGTTATTCACTTTCAAGAAAAAAATTATTTTGTTATTTATAGCAATCAATAGAAGAACACATTGAAAGTAGGAAAGAATATTGATCAACTTTCAGACAGAGGAGGATATGAAAGACCTTTCCACCGGCGTACAAATTGTGCACGCATCTCGTTAAGCAAGCATTCGTACAAAACTCGCACACCATCCAACTCGCACAGCCCTACTTAAATTTAATTATTTAAATATTCCCAGACCTCCTCTCTCCTATACTCATTTCAATGTAATTAATTTCATTAAAAAGACATTTCTACAGTCGTAAACATAATGCGCGCTCCACTTATTTTAGAACATGTCAATAAGCAGATTTTTCTGCACACGCGTACACGCATGCGTACACACGGGCTACTATAGATGTATGCACGCTTACAAGAGCGTACATGCATGCAATATAACAACGGTGATGGCGAGGTATGCAGCCGGCACGATGGAAGTAATGTTACAAGGAGGCAAGTAGCAGTTGCACCAGTTGAAGGATCGGTGGTAGCTTCTCAATATTTTCATTTTTCGATTTCTTATCATGTTCTTCATGTTCTTCTGCCTGCCACTTCCTCATACGACGTCATCCTTCCAGCACCATCAACACCACCGACAACAACAAGCATCAACATACTTGAAATTTTTCTCGCGATTTTTGTAAAAGATTTATAAATTACTTTTAAATTAAGAAATTACCTTTGTGAAACTCCATTTATTGATTGTTGATAATAAAATTGGTGATAAATTTGTTTGAACATTAGTGGAGATCAAAGACGATTTGTGTGATTATCGACATCGCAATCTGTGAAGAACATACACGATTGAGAAAATCTTTCACTCCACTCACGAACTCATAACATTGATATCGCGTCAGCTTGATCGCATTGTACTCGCTAGCATTTCTTTCCATCTAGACTTAAAAATTTAATTTTACCGCAACGAAAACTTGCTTTGCCAGTGCTTAGAGTCATCATCATCATCTTCATCATCTTCAACGTCATGGAAACAAATTCTAAACCGGAAGCAGACGCCAATCAATGCAGTGATGGTGTCGTTCAGTCAGAAAAACAAAATGGCGGATTGGAGCCAAGAATGCCAAAAAAATCACATGCAATTTGGAACTCGTCGAGCAAAGAATTCCTCGGCAGAACATGGGACAGCTGGGGTAGGTTGTCTGTCTGTTTATCTGTCTGTTTATCTGTCTGTTTGTTTGCCTGGGTGTCTGCTTGTTTCATGGCCTGCCGTTAATTCTTAGTTTATCTGCGCATTGTCATTTATGTGCATAAAGTTAAAGAAGTATTTGTTAGTTCGTGTCATCAATGTATGTACAACTTGATGAAGAGAAAAAGAAGGAAGACATTGAAAAACAACTAGAAAACAAAAAGGAAAAATGGTTGGAAAAAGAAACGAAAAGAAGAAAAGGAAATATTTTAAGGTTAAAAGTTGGAAGTTTGAAGCAAACTGGTGTAGATGATTGGAATAAAAATGAATGGAAAATATCGAGAGTGAACCAATAAAAAATTCTTTAGCCATCCCAACAACAATGCCGACAGTAATAAAGAAAAAATAGAGAATAAAACATTTGAACCATAGCATTGAAAAATTACTAACGCATATTAAACATCATCAAGCAAATTTTTTTTACTGTGAAACAAAACATTTTGCTGCAGTTATTTCAAACGCCGAACGAGAAGTTCGAGTAAACCTGATGCAAATACGACTTTGTTAAAAAATTGCAGTTAGTAACATTCAAACAGACGCTACTGGGCTGGCTTTATTTTCAACAGATAGAGAAAATTAGTTTACACAATAGCACTGTTTCATCATCCTCATAGTTAACTCTATTATCATTTTTATAGAATTGTAATTATCATATTACTTTTGCTATTTTTGCTGCAACTATTTTTATTATTGATTAGATGTGAAGCCTGGTATTTACGTGGCGTAGGCCTGGGTGTTTGATGAAAGTGGACAAACATATTTTGTCCTCGAACTTTTCATTTATAGTTCATTCTCCATTGTTCAAATCAAAACCAACACCATACATTGCAAATTTTCTTGAAGAAGTTAGGATTAACTGGGAGACAAATAAATGATTTGTACAAAATTGCAAAACAAATTGTTTGCTTTAGCCCTCCTTGGCTCGTCTATGTTATTTTTTAATTGTTTTAATTTTTTAACCTAAAAATTATTTAATTATTATTATTATTGTTGTTGTTAGTATTATTATTTATCATCAATAAAACTACCCTGACAGCCAAGATAGGCATCTTTTACTTGATTTTCTATTCCTGTCTGGCGGCATTCTTCGCGGTCATGTTGGTCGGGTTCTTCCAGACGATCGACCTCAAACAGCCAACACAACAGAACATGTATAGTCTTCTCAAGGCAAACCCAGGTTTCGTGATTTTGCTTGATGCTGATTGGCTGAGAGTTCAATGGTTTGCTGATGATTGGTCGGTTATAAGTTGATAAGTAGTTTGTGATTGGTCGTTTTGATTATAGGCTACTGCTTGTTGGTTGTTAAATAATGATATGTAAGCTTTTGAATGCTTTATTTTGTTTTTAGTTGATGGTAAGTGAAATATGTTAATTGATAGCTGATTGTTTATTTATGTAAAGGTTGATTGACAGTAAATTTCCTTTTTTCGTATGGGGTTTTTGAGTGAAGGGCTAATTAATATTTAAGGTTGAGTGAAAATTTTTGGTTGTAGATTTGTTGATGATGGTTAGGAATTTTTTATTAAAAATTTATATCTTAAAAAATTATTTTAATATTTTGGTCAATTTGTTACTTATTAGTCTATTTTTACATTTAATTACACGTCTGTCAGCATATACGTGTACCCATGTAACAATTTTATATTTGAGTGAATATCAGAATATGGTTGACCAGCGTGTGTATTCAATCAATGGTGGCTGAGTGTACTGAGGACATTCTAACGATGAAAATATTGGGACGACATAGTAGTTGCCAATGTGCGAATTTTAAATTTATTTAAAAAAACTGAAATTTTCGTCAAAATTTTTAAAAAAATATAAGGGTTTAATTCTTATAAAGAAAAGAAAATAAACAAATGGTGTCATAAAACAACTGCTCGTGTAACAGTTATTTGATTTCACTTAAATCAACTAGAATTTAAATAAACCCTTAAATAAATACCTCGTCTAATTAAGAGAATGAATATATCAAAATTTCAAACGATAAAAATATAATGTAGGACTACAAACCAATGTATGATTGAAAATATTTTAAATAAACGAATGTGCTGAACTGATGCAATATTGATAATAAATATAATGTTAGGAGTAATAATAATAATAATAATAGTGATAAGACGATGAGGATTATGATTATGAATATGATTAAAATGACAATTAGTGATGATTTGCAGCAGTGATGCAATTTCACCAAACAATTTGTATTCTCTTGATTGGAATTGTTACTGGTTTGTAAGCAGAACCAACGAAATCCCCATGCACACCATAAATTATTTATCCATTTATTTTTTCCGCAGAGACCTTTATATAAACACGATATATCGATTCTATTGATCTGTTCCATACCTGCCTACCTATCAACCAACCAACCGACCTACCTACCGACCAAACTACTTGTCTATCTCTCTGTCTGTCTGTCTGCAAGTGTTTGCGTGTGTACGTACGTATGATTTTGCATGTCTGAAGTGCATGTTAATTTTTAGCTGCCCACATATTTCTTGTAGTTGTTCTTTTTTTGCGTCAATGAACAAATGAATCCGCATTTTTATTTAGGGTTGTGTGATGTGCATACATTCTATGGACATTTAAAAATGCATTAATGCATTCGTGGGTGCATTTATAAATGCATTAGTGCATATGTGAATATTTATGACTGCTTTCAAACTAAAATATGACGTGAACAACGCTATGCAAGAACATACACCAGGTTCATAATTCATTTCTACCACTGGATTTGAGCCTCCTCTGTTTAACACACTAAATGCCTCATGATCGTTTGTCACACGTTGTCTTGAACGTTACGGCGGTTTCTAATGTAGGGTTGCCTCGTTTGAGTGTTAGCGTGGCACGAGAAGGCTCGTTCTTTCTGAAAGTTTTTGGCATACATTCATTCAAGCGTGCATTATTAAAGTAGCTCTATGAGATGTTAGTTTTTAAAATAACTATTTGCATGTGCGTTTCAGCCGGTTGGCTATGCTGGCTGTTGAAAACCGCTTCAAGTCATGGCGAAAAGATGTTGCTGGCAAAAAAGAGTCCTATTGTATTGTATGTGAACCGCTTGACCACAAAACCGATGACTTCATTCTTTTATTTAATTTTTCATTTAATCTTTTATAACTTTACTTACGATGTTTGTTTGTCTTTCGATTTAATTTTCTACTTTAGTGTTTCAACAACAACTTCCATCTTTTTTTGTTCTTCATTATACAACTCTGTCAAGTTTTATACTTATAATTGAACTTTCGTACCACAAAAGCTGTACTATCTACACCAATTGACGCTAACACCGCATCACCACACACACACACACACACACACACACACACACACACACACACACATGGCGTATGAGTCTTTGAGTTTCAAACAGACGGTATTTGAACCAGGCCATTGAGTAATAACAGCCCGAGACATAGCACTAATACCGAATGAACTAACTCGTCGACCAAATTTTGCAATAATCTCCAACGGTCCCCAACTTGCAACAATTTTTATCAGGCAACAAGCTCCATCTTCCAACAATTTCTGTGTTGCAACAACTTTTATTTTGCAACAACATCCATCTTGCAGCAATCTTTCTCTTGCAACAAACTCCCATCTTGACAAACTCCACCTTGCAACAAACTTCACCTTTGCAGCAACTTACATCTTTAAACAGTTTGTTATGCAAAAACATTATAGCATTACTTTACCACATCTCATTAATTTTAAACACTTTTCTTTCTCAACTTCCAACATTTGATGATTTATCCTTTGAGCAAACATTAAAATTCCCGGAATGCATATTATTTTTCCTCGCAAGTCACATAACACTGTAACGATTTGAGTTTAAAAAAAAAACTTCAATTACAAGTAGATGGACTCAAACATCATTACCGTTGGATATAAGCCGGCAAAACTTTCCACGAAGCAGAACATACGCAGCTACAATCTTCCCGACGAGTTGTGCACCTGAAATGTATGCAGCGCTGTACACACACATCTCTGTCTGTACAAACAATCGTTGGAGCTTGGCGAGGAGGCCAGATCAATATGCAGTGGAGCGGTGCGCTAATTTATTCATTGCTTTTTGCATGTTCTCTCCGCACAAACTACGTACAGTGCACAAATGTCTTTGCTTATCTTTTGTTCTGCTATTATTTTTTCAATTAGTTAGCAGTATTATGGTAAAAATGGATTTAATAACAAAATTTTTTCATAAATAATAAAAAAATTACGTAAAATTCATCACGATATATTAATTAAATTTAATTTAATCGAAAGACAAAAACATGAAAAACACATTATCCAAAAATTTACTATGCTGGTCCATTCACAAAGTCTACAAAAATTTCCTGTAAGCACAATAAATATTTTTGGAAAAAAAACAGCACATTTGGGAATGAGCCATTTTTGCCAAGCCATTGTATATAAATTTAGCTTTTTTATGGCAGGCCTAACAACTTTCTATATTTTATATTTAATTCAACGCATACGAGTTTCAATCATCATTACAATCATCATTCAGTTTCTAATAGAAACGTCATTCTGGCATCACCATTTATACTATAATGGTTATCACTCATCTCAACAGGGCATTCTGATTTGAAAATCATCCTCCTTGTCATCATCGCCATCATATTTCTACCAAGTGTAATAAATTTAAGCTTGACGGGTCGGCTCGAATGCGAATCAATTGAATTTGATCAAACAGAAACTTAGCTACAGTGCACTAAAGAGATGTACTCGTTTATTCCACAAAACATTAAATAAAGCTTTCCAGGGACGTATTTTGACGCGTTATCTGAAAAGAAATTTGGGTTTCTTTATGTGTGTACAAACTTAAGTAGAACAAAAAGTGTTCGGTTTAATTTAGTTGTATAAATGTTTCATATAACTTTTTTTTATTTAATAAAAATATGTAATGAGAGGAAAGTTCACTTTAATATCAATATTTATTAATTAAAATATGTGCTGCTCAGAATATTTTAATGATTTTAACTGATGTATCAACAGGTTAGTTTTCTGATTTCATGAACATTTTTTTGACATAACTTCTGTAAATTTTTTATAGGTGATCCGTTATTGATCATATTAGTGGCCAGATCATATATGAAAAGTATCAAACAGCATGTAAGCAGCTCCGCATTTGACAAAGCTGTACTGTATTACAAGGAATAAATAAATAAATTAAACGATCGATTTTATAAATAGAAATAAGCGTTAGAACGTAACTGTACTGCCATTAGTCTTTCAATCAAAAACACTACACAACTATTATTTCCATAATTTGTAATTAGATTTATTTCAGTACGTTGAAATAAGATAGAGCTATGAGTGGTTTGAAACTGCAAGTCCTCACGGAATAGTTTTGTTTGTTTTTTTTAATTTATAACTTTGTAGGAAAATTGGGATGAATTATTCTTAATAACCTTAACAACCAAACCATTTTTATTATTTCTCGCAAAATATGCTGACTTGAATTTTAAATACCAAAACTGAAATTGACTAAGAGGAGATGTTTGACGCCGGCGCCAAAGAAAGGACTGTACACCTCCGTTTTAGCTCAAAAGTGATGGCTGTGGTTTACATTTTATTTGTTGACTATTTAAAAAATTTGTATGAAAAAATCCTGTTTTCATTTTATTTTCAACGTCATCACGTATTTTATTTCAAAGTAAGTATTGTAAATTGATTAATTTATTGAATTCATAAAACAATGTTTTTGCACAAAAATTTGAGTTTTTGTTATATTACAGATAGAAATTAATTTCCTAAAATATTCATTATGCAAAATTTGATTCTAAATGTAAGTCTGTAATCAATTTAATAGACTACAGACAAGAATCACAAACGTTCATGTTTAACTAGACGTGTTTTGATATTTTGTTTAACGTTTCGGCGTACCGTAATAGCTGTCTTTGATGTAATTCAATGAAACGGTCACTAACACACGCACTTGCTCCTGTTACTCCATATAATGTCATTTTTACATCAGAAGTATTCAACAAATATTAACATAGAATTTAATTATTTAAGAATTAGTTAAGTTGAAGAATAAGCTTAACACATTTATTAAATGTTGTTTTTCGTTAACTAACATTTCCAAAAAAAATTTGAATTGGCATTCCTTTCAGATTGTCAATGAAATGTCACTCTTCGTTTTGATCACCAGTTTTTTATTCTCGTGAAATAAGTTACAATAGAAAATCAAATCGTTTAAATTTATGATAATTTTTAAAAATTGAACATTTCATCCGAACAATATTCTTAAGAACAAAACAGCAATCATCTAACGATACATGACAGCAGCCATCTCAAAAAATTGCAGGAATGGGCTTTCGACCGATGCCTAACATAGAGTCAACATTGATAAAGTTCAACAAGGGAAACCCAAGCAATTAAAAAAAATAGTAAGAAACAATGGATAAATATCTAAAAGGTACCACATAGTCATTTCAATTTTTTGAAAACTGCTGTTGTTACCTATAACATTATAGTTTATCACTTTCAAAGTGACAATTATTTAATTATCATAAATTTTACCTGAATTTTCGACGAATTAAAAAATTATTTGTGTTTTAAAAGCACTAAGTAAAATACTTGTAGGCTTTTAAACCACTTGATATTAACGCACCTGACTGAATAATTTCAGGTTACTACAATCAGACCGGGGGACACGTGGTGGAATGTAACGAGACAAACGGATGATTTGAAATGGCCCGAGAGGAACAGGTCTGTCGGGTCGGCAGGAGCATGTTTGGAGAGGATTGCAATACAGAAAAAGCTTATTCGTTTGATGAAGGCAAACCTTGTGTCATGCTGAAAATCAACAAAGTATAACAAAATAATTTTAATTATTTTCCAATTATTTAAAAAATTCAAATCATTTAGTTTTAGGCTTCAATAAACAAGCAGTATTCTTAAAACAATTTGGGATCTAGTAAAAGTACTACTCACTATTTTTAATGAACGCGTGTCGTTTAACATTTTCCTTAATTTGCTGCGGAGAAAGTTTGAAGATTGATTTAAAAATTCAAACGGTCTTCCTTACCCAGCAATTTTCGGTTTCCATCAAAAAATATAAAATGATTTTACGTAACATAAATTTTAAAAAATTTACTACTTTAAAACTGCAACATTGAAAAAGAAATGTATAAATTAAAAAAAAAGAAATGTATAAATTAAAAAAAAACAAAAGTTTATTGTGAGGGGTTGCAGTTTCAAACAATTCTTAACTCTATCTGATTTCAACATACTGAAATAAATATAATTACAAATTATGGAAATAATAGTTATGTAGTGTTTTTCGATTGAAAGACTAATGGCAGTTACGTTGCAATACCTCAGCATCATAATTTATTTTTTTTACATACCGCAATAATCATTACACAATAATTAGGTTTTTGGCTGGGTGCCTCGCAGTTTCAACAATAGCGAATGGAACGACATGAACAATACACTGGCACAGGAAGCCAGGAAGAAATTAGGAGACAGGTACGATCCAAACTACATCGGAGTATCTTGCGAAGGAGAAGTGGGTGATGAGTTTTTCTTTCGTTAAATTTAAATTTACTAAAAAAAATACAATTTGAAAGAATTTTTAATTTATAAAATTACTTAAAATTAACATACAATAAAAACAAAGCCAAATAAAATGCAGAACGAAGCCGACACGGACAACATGGGTCCTGTAACTTATTTTCCTCGAAAAGGATTTCCCTTATCCTTCTATCCTTACAGAAATCAGGATCATTACAGAGTTCCCATGGTTTATGTCAAGTTTGAAGATCCCAAGTACGGAGCATTGATTCAGGTATGGTGCCGAATTTGGGCTTCCAATATCAAACATCACAAGAACGATAAGGCCGGCAGTATACATTTCGAGCTGCTTATTGAATAATTTAATTTTTTAATGGATGGTTTTAAACTAAATGAATTGGTAAAAAGTGGTTTGAAATAAGAAAAGCGGTTGAAAATAGAAATTTTCCAAATATTAAAATAGTAGTCTAGCGTTAAATAAGAGATGTGCGTGTTACTAAGTAGGAGAGGATTAAAGCTAGTTTAAATCTAACTAAAGCGTAATATGCCTTTTAAGTAAAATAGTGTACAAGGTATTTCCAACATAGTGTACAAAACTGTGTTATTTAGTACAAGTTTGTTAACAACATCGGCAAAAAGCTTAATACTCATGGCTTAGGAAGGAAGGGAATAACTGTTTTAATACGAATACTGTTAAAGTTTGTTAATTTAATGATTTCACGGCAATTTTCAAGTTATTCCCCGCCAATGGTAACAAATTAGGAACATTCTTCGTGGAGTATCTTCATCTTTAGATAAGTGATAATTCAATTTAATAATCTTTATAGCATATGCATTTGCAAATCATATTTAACTTGTTAGCGATTACATAGAAAGCGTATACAAATTTAATGTATATATACATATACTTAATATGTATGTATATATACGAGATATATGTACGATTTGAAAAAAATTTATTTATGAAACAACTCACGAAATATCTTAGTATGCATACACAGTTGTACAAGTTCATATTCACGGTTTGTACATACATAGTGAAATTTAACGCTTATATGATACGTAGTACAAGAAGTTCAAAACCTTTTTGAGTCCTTAATAACTGTATTCACCACTTACGACAGATTTATTTCAATTTATTTTTTATTTTAAGACAATTATAATGCACTGCCATCAATAAATAATAATTAGCATTTCATGTTTCACAAAATCATCATCATTCGTTTAACACTGCAAACATTAACTAGCGAATCCATTAGAGCCATCACGTTTGCAAAATTCTTTTTTATATATACATAAGCATATTGTTAAAAGTATCGTTTTAAAGAACTCGTTGTCTGTTGTAATTTTATTGTAATAAAATATGCCTAGGCTAAAAACGTTCAACGGTTTCATTTTTACGACGTAATAGTCCGATCATTCACTTGTTATATTTCTAGTTTAGAAGAAATTGACACAAGTACATTTCATAACTTTATTTATCGAATAATAAAGATAAAAATAGGTCATGTACATAATTGTAGATACGTATATAAACAAATACTCTAGATCAATAATAAGTTGATGAAAAAATAGTTTTTTGATTTTTAAAAGTAATCTTAAAAAATAGTACAAAAATATATAAAACAATACAATATCATAATTGTTTCATATGCACACTATTTACAAGAAACTGCTTAAATTACATGTTCTTTAATCAAATTCTTAACAAAAAATAAAAATGTAAATTGATCAAAAACTCGTGTAAGTAACAAAACTGTCAGGAAGAAACAAAGAGTCGCTTTTAATCGATTGGTTGACCATTCTCTCATCACTCATCAACATTTTCAGCGTGGCTTGGAGTTGAAGCTTTGCTGCCATAGCCAGTTCTGCCTGTTGTCTTTGATGTTTCTCCACTACCAGGCGACCGTACACAAGTTGTTGTTCATTTCGGTCGTGCAAGAAGTGGCATCTTGTACCATACGAGCAGAAGCCAGTGGAGTGAAATCTCCTGCAAAGCTCCGTTTTGTACCTCGGATGTCTGTCAAGGGTTTTCAACTCATCTGGTCCATGAGCAAACTGACACTTGTTTCCATACTTGCATTCACCCCGTTCTTGAAATGATCTACACAACTCAGTTTTGTACCTGGTCCCAACAACATTACTATCAATGTTTAGAGCTGGAGAGGTAGATGAGCTACAATCATTGTCATCAACAACCTGATCCAGCGGTGATGAAGCCGACGACGAATAAGGCCACCAGCACGACTCGCTGCTGGAAGGACTCGATCCAAGATTGATGACAACGTTCAATTTCTAAAATTTAAATTATCGATCATTTCAATTAAATTCAATATTTTGTTGTTTAAAAAAAATGTAAGAAACACTACCTCACAAGATTTGTCCGCAAGATCGGCTGGTACAAAAATCTTACGATCCTGCATCACTGCACTCCCAGGCTGACAAACCCGAAAAAAGTCATCCTTAACCGAATTGAGATGCTGCAAATGAGATAAAAATCATTATATTAATTATGTTACATACAATACAATACAGAATACACAAATAAAATCGTAAATTTAAAATAATCCACCAACCATGTGTCCTGCAGCAGACATCTTGGAACGCGTTTTAAAAATTTAAAACGAGTTCAAATATCCCTTTTATCCAAAGTTTGAAATCCTTTGTCAAAGTCAGAGACGATCCGTCGATAGTAACGCGTCAGCAAGAATTAAAATGTTCAGTTTGAAACCGAGTAAAACTGCGGCTTATATACCTTTTCTGGCCTAATGAAATCTTATGAATGGTTTAGTGTTGAATGTGAGCGTTTGTCATCTGCGGAAGGCGTGGCTTAAAAAAATTCAAACCAATCAAACTATCTATCGGTATGTAGGTGAGAAATAGTTTACTTAATATCTTTTACTAAAATTCATGTTTCTTAAATAATTTCGCATGCCATGAATCTGATATTTAATTGTTCATTAATTTATTTTAATAATTTTTATGCACGTGTATTTTCCGAAACGAAATGCCGCATTACACTACTTATTACACATTACACTACTTATGTACGAGTTTCATTTTTAATTGGTAACTGGCAAGCAATTTATTCCTATTATTATTATTATCATTAATTCTTGTATGTCTAGTTAGTTTTAATTGGTTTTACTATCTTTAATTGCTGGTTGGTTTTTGTATGACACAATCAGTACACCCGTTTAAAAAACGCCCAATATATAGGTCAAGATGTATAATTTGTTAGTTTGTATACATTCAAACACATGCATATAAATATATATGTATATATATATGTATATATATATATATATATTCGCATATATACATATATGTACACAATATACCCCACATACATATATATATTTATATACAGATTGATATGTTTGCAAATGCGTCTAATTCTTTTTTTGAATGTGCATATACACATAAACACGTACGTGTACAAATTAAAAAAAGACACACAAACACATACGCGGCTCATTAAGAAGTGTTTAAAGTTTGTCGCCATACGTTCGCCGTGTTCACGTGCCAAAAGACTAACTGTACTAATTAATTACATTACATTACAATGCGTTTGATCCTTCGCTTTTACCAGTCACTTTAAAATTTTGAAATTATGAGTTGCAGAGGTCTGATGAAGACTGGGCCATGTATTGTTCAAATTGATTATTTTTACCTAAAATTTTTAAATTAATTTCGTCACAATCATCCACCAACACATAAGAAATAAATAATTTTTCACTTAAACTTCCAGCCAAACGCTGCAATGAAGTTCTGAATGAAATAAATAGTATCAAAGTGAAAAACTGTGCAAACTAATAACGCATCGACAAACGCATGCACAACGCTGCTTGTTGGCTGTCGAGTTAATTTTTAAACTGGAAAAGAAAGGTGTGTCAGACACTTCTGAAGGGACAAACGCGCATATATCCGCACGTACACCTACACATTCAATCTTGAACACACTTACACATATTCATACATACCTATAAAAATATATATATATATATATACAAGTTTCATTAAATTCTATCGCTATGGTATTATTTATAGAGAAATTAAAATTAATAAATAATACTTTAGCGATAGAATTTAATGAAACTTGTATACGTAATAGCCTTCTTATACCTAACTAGAAATATTAAATTATTTATTTATTGATTTAATTATATATAAATATAATTAAATAAATACTTATATAATACTAGCAACAGCAAGGTAATGGATAAATGTAATGTACTTAACAATAACAATATCAAATAGTCCCTTATATGACAGTTTGTTGTGTTATTTCTAATGTTATTGTTGATAATATTGTTATTTCGCTGTTGTCATCAGTCACAGGAGTTTTTACATATTCATCGTTTCGTCCTTAGTTTGTTGTTGTTGTTGACGTTGTTGATGTTGTTGTTGTTGGCATTTTCAGAGTTTGTTATCATAGGCGATGCTGTAAGCGTTCAGAGTATTAGTATAACTTCTGACGGCAAAAGTAATAGCTAGTAGTGCGTGCCAAGTGATGATGATTGAAGTAATGGGAATGTTATTTGTAGTAGATGCTTTTGTTGTACGTGATAATATTGGTAGCTATTTACGGCAGTGTTGGTGATTATGGTCGTAGTCGTAGTAGCAGCAGTAGCTGTGGTAGTTAAAGTAGTAGTTGCGACAAGAGGAAAAGTTCTGTTTTTTTATTGTTATAATAGTGCGCTGGCAAATATACTTAATTAATTGTCTAATTTTTCAATCAGTGAATAAATGTTTTAAATTTTATTGTATTGTTTTCAAATTATTGAAGCTGTAAATTTTCGGCATAGCTTGGCATCAGATATACACGACCATAACATATTTTATAAGTGTTTGTGTGTTTACCTTTAGATATTCTTACGTCTCTTTCTTAACACTCCTGTATCGATTTGGTATTTACCTAAATTATCGTGTATCTATGTGTTGGTTCATGTGTTTGAGAACTGTACAACATTTTGAGAACTTACAATTTAGAAATTGTTTATATCCAGTTTTTGTTAAGGATTGTTCAACTAACTAGGTAAAACAAGCTGTTTACAAGTGTTTTCAAGGCGTTCGCCCACCTATCCTGCTGGTGAGCTCGTTGCGTCGTTTAATACTTTTCTTTTCAGGACAAGTGAAATTTTATTTATTGTTTATACGTTGCGATGAATAATTGACAACAGTTTGCATCGATGAAAACATGTCGATATTATTTCAAAAAACAAAATTTAAAAATTAAGAATTTGAACATTTCAAACCGACCTAAATATAAATTTTTAGAAGACACAAATTTCTTGGTTGTTCACATTGTTAAACATTTTTCTCACACCTTGACAATTGAAAAACAAGAATAAGTAAAAACATTTCTAGATTAATCAAATGACAACATCAATTTTGCGTAACTTAAACTTAAAATTGTTTCCCGACTCCACCAATTTTTACATCAAATTTATTAATTTTAAACAGAAATTTGCACACGTGAACAAAATAAAAAAGCTTCATTTGAATCTATTCTATAGATTTCTTCAAATGGTTTTTTTAAATGCTAGGGACGAAACAAAAAAATTGAACTATCCTTATTTTGAAATTCGGATGAAACTGTCAAAACATGTTGTCTAAAAGTTTTACGTACGTTTAATGATACGGTACCGTATTATTTAATTAGCATATTTAACATTCCAACAAGTTCTAACTAACATTACTATATTATTTTATTAACATTCTAACAAGTTCATGATTCGGTCATAGCTCGTGGTTGCTAAAGAGGACTAGCCTCTCTCACCTGATAATGAATGTACCTAGTGAGACGATGAACACAACACACTCCCACAGTTTGCGGCTACTAAGTCCAGTTCCTGGCGTTCTTATGTTGTTCGATTCTTCAACTCAGCACGAATCAATGCTCTCTTGAGTGCAGTTAAGAAAGAGACACACAGAACAATAAGGGAGACGTTCAGATTTGGGTAATTTTTAAATTATTCGCATCGAAAATGAAAGCCTTTATAAATATAACAAACTTTTTTATTGGTAGGCATTTTATTAAGTTATTTGTAGTAATTTTTTTCAATACGAAGCAAATAGTTGAAAAAAATTACAAACAAGTTCTACACTATTGAAAATTTAAAGAATGACAGTCATCATCTCATGGATAGTGATGTTTGTTGCACGTGTTGCACCATTTTCATGGATGAATATTGTATTGTATTGCGCATTACGATTATTTAATGCAACGTAAAATGCACATACGACCCAGGACCAAACAGTGTAAACGCGGGAAGCAGGTTGAATGTTTGCAAACGATTATTTTCTTCATTTAAGGAAAATATCACTGAACTGTTCTCCCGATCATCATAAGAAATGTGATCTAGCAAATAAAATTATCGTCCTAGCAAGTAATTATAGCACTCTATCTTATGAAAGCCGTATCAATTCAGTCACACAGATCAGTAGAAACTGCATCGAAAGTATTTATTCAGGCTTGCTGCGATCAGGTAATTTCAATAAGAATGGACCAGAGCATGTAAGTTAGTTTTTAAAATTATATCGAGAACCAGAGCCGTATGAACCGATAGGCTAACTAAAGAGGCTGGAGCCACTGGTGGCAAATATTGAAGTTAAAAAATAACAATAAAACATCGAAAATAAAAATCGTTCACTACTTTGTTCTTGTGAGGTCTGCCTGGAGGCAATGATAGTTGTGATTGCGTACCTATGTTAAAAATGTGTGTAGTCGTGTGGTAGGATTTTTTTAACAACAGTCTGGGGTTATACGGTGCAATTTTATTTTCATTTAATATTATAATAATTAACATTATTATCAATTATCAATTGATAATATTTGATATTAAATGCTGGAAGCTGGATGAGAAACACAGTTTTTGAGAGATGTACATATGAATATATCATATAAATATAAAGATATGAATGTGGTGCGGTGACAAATTGTTAAGCGGAAAGATCTGTCACTTGCCTCTCAAGAGTTAAAACCCATTTGTGATAAAATATGTTTGAAAATAGATTAACTATTTATCAATGTTATCAATAAAAAAAACGATATCCTTTGTAATATATCTTTTGTCAAAATAATTTCTAGATTTTCTGAAACAAAATGTAAGGAAAAAATTATAAAATCCTAAACTATTAAATAGAAGGCTCTTCCATTTTGTTACCATCATTCTTTGAATTAAATAATTTAAAAAAAATATTTGTTTTTGTCTAGCTATCTTTACTATCAACCATATAGGCTGATAATTTCATTTTGAAAGTGGATATATCAAAAATTGTTTAACAATAACAAAAACAAAAAAAATTAGGTAAACGAGGGGCGGCAAGATTTTTCAAGCCTTGCCTAGAGCGCAAAATTCTTAAATTATCCTCTTTGAGAGCAGTCCAAATGAAACAGTATGTAATTATTTACTTTTGATTGTGAGGCAGTTTTCGTTATATTGGATAGCTCACTTACTTCTCATCCATTAATTAGGCAACTATAGTAACGATAACTCTGACATCTGTAATAATGACGATGATGATAATAATACTGACTAGGAAGTTATTATAAAATTTATTATTATAAAATAATATTAATAATTAATTTAATATAAAATAACGGTAATGATGCCGTAAGTAATGATCATAGCGGTAATGATAATGTTGTGATGGAACTGATGGCAATGAGTATAGGAGGCAATAGCGATGTAATGATGATAGCAACAATGATAATGACGAAACTATGACGATGATTAAAATGATGATGATTATCCATAATGAATGATGATGATGAAAGTAGTAATGATGATAATGATGATGATGGTAAAGATCACGTAAAGATGAAAATGATGATGATGATTTCGAAAGAAGATGATGATGAAAGTAATAACAATGATGATGATGATGTGGTAAAGACCACTTAGACAGCGTTTTTTTATCGCAGTACGATGACAATGATAACAGTGACGATGGTGATGATGATGATGATGATGAGAACTGTGATGATGATGATGATTTATTTAAGTATAATAATAATGATGATTATGATGACACTAATTGTGAGGGCGACGTTGGTGATATTTCTATTACTATTGTTATTATTATTTATATTATTTGATGTTTTTTTTGGATGTTATCTATTGCGCATTCTGTCATGTCATTAAGTAATAATTCAATCAATCTACACTTTCTATAAGTCTAGGAATTTGATGCTGTGTGGCCAACGAAGAAATTACAGTATTAAAACCCTGGATTTGAGAATCATATTTTCTTAAAAAAAAAATAATTGACTAAGTTCATTTATAAATGTAATGTGCGTGCTTTTGTACGTGTTATTGTATGTGTGTGTGTGTGTGTGTTCGTATGTATCATTGTATGTGTGTTTACGTGTGTTTTAATGTACCACTATGTAAGTGTGTGTATGTGTTTGCACGTGTCATTGTGTGTGTGCTTGTGTGTGCCATTGTATATGTGTGTGTTTCTATGTGCCATTGTGTGTGTGTATGTACCATTGTATGTGTGTGTGTTTGTATGTGTCATTGTATGTGTGTGTTTGTATGTATCATTGAATGTGTGTGTTTGTATGTGTCATTGTATGTGTGTGTGCTTCTTTTAATTCTCGATTTTTTTTAATATTTTTTGATTTTTCGTCTCGTATCGTGTTTTAAAAGTTATTCATCACCTATGTGTATCCTTTTCTTTTAAAAGTGTTTGCTATTTGGAGAAATAAAAGATTAAAATATTTAATATTGTATTTAATTATATTTATTAATAACTTGGCTACCATTTTTTTAAAATTTTAATACCAGAGCTGTATTAAGAGATTATTGAATTTTAATTGCTACGGTAAATGATTCTCAGTTGCTATGATGATAATAATAATGATTGCTCGCATATTAAGTAATTTTTATTCAAATTTCACTGTCAAACGAATGAAATAAAATTATTGATTTGACAAATAGATGGAGGAATGGATGTTGTTGTGTTGTTGTTGTTGCTGTTGTTGTTGATGATAGTGGTGCAAAATTGAAATATTTTTTAGTAACAACAAATTTGACTGGCGATTTGCAAGCAATTCAGTTGACGGCTAGAAATCACACATCATCGTTTAAAACATGGAAAACATTTGAATCACCTTACATATTTTTATAAACAAATTGAATCATCAAATGTAAGTGCCTGTATTAAAATTAACCAACACTTTAGCTTGGGACAGCATCCCAAATTTTGCTTTTTAATGGTTTTGGTGCTTCTAACAAACATAAACTTTAAAAATTGATATCAATTGTGATACTTTTTAGTACGAAAATTGAGTAAAAAAAGTGGGTTGATCAAAAAAAGGATTTTCAACTTTTTCTAAACCTTCAAGTACTCTATCAAAAATTTCTCGCCATTCAACTGACTTACATTTACATGGCTCACAATAACAGGTAGTAATCGCTTCATTTGTCGAATATGTACTTGTGTTTAAGTTTTGAATTCAACAAATTACATAAGCTGACCTAGACTCAGACAAGTTGTTAACATTTAATAGTTGGTAACAAAGTAAATTTGAAAGTAGGATTGAAAGAACCGTTGAAAGAATCGTAGGTTGAACATAAAATTTGATAAAAGGGAAGACGTTGCATTTTATTGTGACTAACAACACTTGAATTCATATCTCGTTCATTCGTCTCACAGTTCGAACCTACTTTGCATGTACGTACATATTTACAAGTTAATGTTAACAATGGTCAGCTTCCATTCAAGCAATACATACTGGCAGGTACTCGTCACTTGCATAAACTTCGTAAGTGTCACACATGTTTGGTGAGTAAAATATCTAATGCGTGTTAGACTTCGGTTGATTAGATGTTTATTTATTTTATTATTTTGAAAATTAAAGATTAAAAAAATAAATTAGTAAATTAATAAAAATAACATTATTTTTCGGCTAAACAAGCTGTCAAATGTGTTCTGGCATTGATTAGAATGCACAATCAATTATGATATTTATGTACCGATTTTTCAACCAATTTTACAGGTTTAACTAATAAAAAAACAAATTTAAAGTCCACAGAAATTTTTTTATTTATCAACAATTTGGAAATTTCTATATTCTGTCTTACGTTTTAGTAGTAATAACCATAAATAAGCAAAATATGTATAGATATAATATTTAACCAATATAATTATATATATATATATATATATACAAAATATTTGTAATATATAGGTATATGTATCTGTTATATATATGTATTATGACAGAGTATATTATTCGAATTATTGTTTTGCATGTCATACGTTTGTAACAAGGAAGAAATATATGAAGGCATTTCAAAGCAGTGTTAAATCCCAACAATTAATAAAGAATTTTGTTATTTTTCTGTTTGAAAATGGCCTCTGGAGAGATAGCCAACTTGAGAAACATCTTGATTATATACAACAGGGATGATGGCATCGATTGGAAGGATTACCTGAAAGCTGAAATAGGAAATTATTTTACCGAAAAAATATCAATCAAGTACGTGCAGGACAGGAGGGTACCTCCAACATTAGTAGAACGGAAACCTTCCGGACCAGACATTACAAAAATTAATCTCGCTCCCATCAAGAGACCAGCAATAATGTTGGTCCTCTGCACTCCAAAGCATCTTCAATACTTAAAAGCCAATCCGCTCATCAGTTACAAACAAGCTCTTGCTGCCAACTTGACATTTCATCCTGAAAATAGCATTATTTATTTTTGCAACACTTTTCAAGAGGAGCTTGAAGAAACCGATGCAGCTGGAGTAAGATTAAGAGATCGTTTTGAAGAGTTTTTCAAATGGTATCAATTCGATTGCAACGGTAAAACTATTGAATTGGCTAAGTTTATGGAGTCGGTATTTTTTAAAATTACAAAGGAAATTGCTTCAAAAATTCACCCAAAAGCAAAGTTAATCAATACTACAGCCAAGTGTCAGGTAGATTAATATACTATTTCTAATTGTTTTTCGTTGAGCTAGTTCAATTTAGTAAATATTAACTCAATTAATTTGAAAAATAATGAAATAAGATAATGCATGATGACGTTTTTGAAAGGAACCAGCCACAATGGCGGTGGTGTTTGAGAAGGCCCTACCAGAAAACGCCATAGTTCAGACCTACCTGGACCTCCATTCAATCCCAACGGAAATACTCAATCCTTACACCATAACATTTCTCACTTGTGGTTAGATGTTCATTCATTCATTCATTCATTCATTCTTTCATTCATTCATTCATTCATTCATTCATTCATTCATTCATTCATTCATTCATTCATTCATTCATTCATTCATTTATTCATTCATTCATTCATTCTTTCATTCATTCATTCATTCACTTATTTATTCATTCATTCATTTCATTAAAGATTAGCTTTTAATTTTGTAATATTTTGCCATTTAATAGTTTAAACAATTTTTTTTCTTTTTAAATTTATTTAAAATTATTTTATTATAAATGCCTTTTTTTGTCCTGAATATGTTTTCAACAGCAACATTTCAATTTTCGTTAAAATAAAGTTAAAATAATTCTTTACATTCATTATGACATAAGTATGGTAATAAATTTAAATAATAGAATTTTAAATTTGTTATCTCTCATGTGCACAATCAAAATGGTTCGCACTGGTTCAACTCAAAACAGAGCACATAGAGGGAGAGGCAAACGTTCTAATCACTGTTAATGGAAATGAGGTGAACCTGGATCAGCAGATTATTTCATTTGTTTCGCCAGCCCAAGACATCAACATCGTGTCACAAATTTACATTACACTCATGAACAAAGTCATCGAAGTTGCCCTCACGAACGGAACAAGTCGATCAATGTTGGACTGCGAGCTTATGAAGGTGTTTTCCATTGAGTCAGACACCACTCCAGTCCAGGCTTTTGAAATGCTATTTGGTGTTTTTCAAGCAACATCAGATGGTTGTTTATTAGTTTAAAAAATTAAATGGATATTTTTATCAACTGTCAACTTTTTAAACTCTAGATACTAGTGACTATCAATTCCCTTCCTTGCTGCATCTGGCAGCACATCACGGCCTGAAAGAGTTTACAGGTCGTTTGATGGATTTGCCGGATAATAAATTAGTTTTGGGGCTTCCAAATAACAAAAACAAGATACCGATGGATTTAGCCAGAGAACAGAACCACGAAGAGTTGGCTTCCTACCTCGAAAATATGGAGGAAGTAATTATATTCATAATAATAATAATAGTTATTATTAATGTTGTTATTATTGCATAATAATGATAATAATAATAATTATTATTATTACAACAATAATATCAATAACAATAATAACAGCCACTCATATTTCAATTAGACACATTCAAACGCTTATTTGAAATACAATTTACCGATATTCCAGGGACTTAATGATGTGTACATGGAGATTGTTAAAAATTTCTACGTAAATGGTTTGTGTTATAATTTGCAATATCTTATAACAGGTTTTAATGAACACGTTAGCCGTGCTTTTATTCTTTAACGAAGTATTCAATTGTACCTGTATAAAACGCGTATGCTAAATAACTGATGTGACATGATATTGTACTGGACGAATCAATGATATATTCTTACAGATTTAGATGAAAAAACATTAAAGTCCGAAATAAAAAAATTCAGAATGAAGGGTAATGCGCCTTTTTTGATAAAATATACAAAATATTGATTCGTGTTTATTAATTTTATCTCATCATTTTCATCCATTTAATCTTATTTTATGTTTATTATTATCGCAAAAGTTTTTTATAATTTTTTTTTATTATTTGACGTAACTTTTCATCTACACTTTCAGGTAAATTACAGGACACTAACAAAAATATGCCAGGTTATTCTTTTTTTGGCTTGTTAACATTTTCCACCGTTCGAAATGTGAAACTAAATTTAATAATTTTATTCAGTAAGTAGCACACCTGGATATCTGTCAATGAACAAGGCGGATGCCAGTAAAGGTAAGCAAATATTTTCATCATTAGTTATGCTCACCATTCATTTTGTAATAGCTGGTTTATTTTTTGTTAAACCTTTCATTTTGTTGGGGCTATAATTTTCTTACAAAGTGGACATAATTAGGCCATACCACTATATTTGTTTGTTCCTTGTTTTTCGCTTGTTAATTTTAAAATCAAGATATTTTTGTAGTGATCATTTTGATCCTTCTACAATATCTAAAGAGATTTAACATTTTGTGCAATTTTAACTCTTGAACTAAACATTTTTCAAATTGGTTTTTGTTTGACTATTATTATTACTCTGTTCAAATGGTGGCATTTTTAAAAAGTTAATTTAAATAGCTTGTTAATTTATCGAGTAGTGACATTGTTGTATTAGTTTGACTATTGTTAGTTAAGAGCAAACATCAAGTAAAGATTAGGGGTATATGTGTAAAAAATTATCTATGAATAAATTATTTTTTTTTTAGGTAAATCTAAAAACAGAACAAGTTCTAGTAACCCGAGCATGTGAGCATGTAACGATTCATCGGTTTTATTAACATTTTTAAAACTTACTAATTTTCATCAAATTCTATTCAAAAATCCTGTGACAGATCCAAAATTTTGAACGACTGCTTAGAAAAAGGCTCGAAAAACGAGAACGATTTGGTGCACACAATCAACCAGTGTGACGAATCCGTCATCAGAAGTCAAGGACATTTTAAATGCTTCCAGGAGCGACATGTACGCATTAATGCACTTTAGAGAATGTTTGGAAACTTTAATTAATTCAATTAATTTCTTTATGAAGGAAATGTCGAAAAGGGTGAACTCTGAAGTAACAAAAGTTATAAACAACATCGAAGTGAGTGTTCAAAAAAATTTATTAGCTGGCTATGTGGTTAGTTGAAACTACCCAAGAATTATTCGAATTTCAATATTTCACAGAAATTGCCTGAGAAGCAGCAGCGTGCCGGTGGAAAGGCCGAGGCTACTGAAGGTGACAATGTTTTGCATTTCGTTCATATTACCTGTTTGCGAAATTCACTGAACATTGCGGAAATGGCACTTCACAAATAATTGACTTATTGATGTTTCTAATTTAAAAAAAATTTCTACACAGATAACTATGGATACATCAAATCGGTAAGATGTCCAGAAATAAATACCTACTTGGAAATATTTATCTACGTTAAACTTTGATAAAAAATTTTGTAACTGCCGTTACTACCTCATTAAACTTCCATAATTTTTTAAACATGCTACCTTCAGGACACACCGAAGCGAATAAGTAAATAACGTCCACGGATGCGAACAAACTCCCTGACCACTCATAAACTCATAAATAGATTGACATTAAAATTTCTAATTAAAACCACAAAGAACAGCTCACATTAAATGCATTTTTTATAACCGCTTGATAATTAATTTATTAGATGTTTAGCATTAATACTGTTCTAGCGATATTGCAATTTGAAAACATGAAGTTCAAGTGAATGCAAATTAAATCGGCATCATTGTTACAATCACATTATCTGCTACTATAGACATGAATGAAAAAAAAGTTGCTGCCTTTCAATAAATTAAAAAAAAGAATGAAATAATGGATGGAAGAATCAACAAAACAAAGTAGAGGTCATGTTTTCAATTTGATCGCCAGGAGGCATCATCTTCATTGGAATCCTTGCTGTCCCATAAATGAATTCTGTTGTCAATTGGAACAAAATCTAAACTTTCAATTTTTTCGAAAATTTTTCTGTTCGGATTTGTAGTTATTTCGTCTAAATGAAAATCTCTGGAATGAGACTGGTAAACTTCAAAGTTTTTCGTTTCGCGTACATCATTTTCAACAAAGTTGTCTGCAGTTTTCGAACAATGTACCTCAGCCGACGACCTTGAGCTATCACATTTAACGGTTATTAATCTCTCTACAGGTATTCGAAGATGATTTTTTCGTTGTAAATTATTGGGACTTCTTAAATCAGAAAATGAAACATTAGAATAGACAGTATCAGTACCTATCGTACGTGATGCAGCAAGATCAGGAGTTTTTCTATCATTCGCGTCACCTAAAATAATTTCCTCGGTCGATATAAACATCTGATCGCTGACTAACTGATCTAAGGAAGATTGTTTTGGCACGAGTTTCACATCGGCTCCGTACTTACTGGGCGATCTCCACACCGTTGGTTTCTTTTTCATCTCTTCGTCCGTCACTAAATTTGTGGTACAGCTGATTTTTGACCTTTTTAGTTCAGTTTCATTTTGTGAACAATCTAAATTTCGTTTATTTTTTTGAATTGTTGGACTACTGAGATAACAGTTTTGGGGGTAACTAATGTTGCGCATTTTTTCTACGATTGTATAACGGTCCTCTTTATTATCTAAGAATGAATATCCATATGATAACTGTGGAAATGAACGACTTCTGTTTTCTCCACTGGGTTTCCGCAAAAGATTTAAATCTTCATCACTCGGCGAACCAAAGAGACACCTTTTTATTCTATCTGAAGGATTTTTGACGATTTTTGTATTATGCATTTTCGTTAAACTCGACTGATTATTTTTATCTGTTACATCTCTGTTTGCTGTCATGTTTACAATGCTCAACTGCTTCAACAAGAAAATATCAATATGAATAATTTTGAGTGTTGCAAAATTTGCGGTATCCAAGATAAATCCTTCACTGGTCAACAGTTTCGTTCTCATAATGTCCAGCTATATTTCAATTTATTATTTATTTACATATTCAATTAGCACTATACTAGCTAGTAAATTTTACATACAAAAATGCATCAGGCTTTACTTTTTACGTTTACTTCGATGTATAATATAACTTTTAATGTTTTATGAAAGCATCAGCTTCGAAAAAACTTCTTTGATGAAAATTCGGTTATTTTCAAATGTTTCAATCGAGTTTTTAGCTAATTTCGACAAAATCGGTAACAAAAACCTAAGGCAAAACAAACGTCATCAAAAACACATTTGAGTCTCATTCAATTCTCCAAGTGCTACCCTAGATAAATTCAAACTTCTAATTAGTGCGCAACATTTTACTACAGCCAATAGAATTGTCACCTTTCATCCGCTGACAGCTAACAGCATCGCTTTACTACTGTAGAGTAGTCTACTCAGAAGCTCACAGCTGTCGGGTGCTACCGCCAACTTAACATATATCACAACTTCAACTTGGGTTAATTTAATATTCATAAAATCTGCATTATTCAATCAATAATGGACTATTATTTGGTGTTGTAATTTCTTTTATTCATATAAAAAACGTCAACTCCGGCCATTACAAATAAAAAACAAAATGGTTTTTCTAAAAATAAACATTTACGGTTTTAAAAACAATTCTAAATAGTAAATAATGGTTCAGTCGCTCGCCCGACGACAGCATTCGTTGTAAAACAAAATGTAGCACAACAGCACGAACACCGACATTGCTTGTTTAAAAGTAGAGGTAACTAAAATAATAAAATCATTGTTAAGCGCTTCATTTTGTACAAATAATTGAAAAAAGGGGTAGGCCTTTGCGTCCGTGCATCCATCAAGCCTTTGATTCGAGAGCAAGATCTTCTGCTGATTTTACGTGGCGCTACATCGTTGCAAATCATTATTTTGTTAATTTAATGTTATAATGTTGTTGATCATTAAATTATTTCTATTGAAAATAAAAAACACCATAAAATAAATAATCTTGTCGAAAGAAACGTTGTTGAATTATAAGATTCAAAGCAAGAAAACAAAGCTCCAACATTAATAACGTTGTTGCGACAAAGTCGCAAATTAAATATATTTGGTATATCCATTATTTTGTTAATTTTATGTTATAATGTTGTTGATCATTAAATTATTTCTATTGAAAATAAAAAACACCATAAAATAAATAATCTTGTTGAAAGAAACGTTGCTGAATTATAATATTCAAAGCAAGAAAACAAAGCTCCAACTTTAAAAACGTTGTTGCGACAAAGTCGCAAATTAAATATATTTGGTATATCCATGAAAAAAATTTGATTAAAAAGTTAAATGTTGAAATTTTTAAAAAATAAGGGTTAAACATAAAGAATTGTTTCGAAACTTTTTTATAACTAATAAAAGTTAAAATTTAAATTCTTTCTAAAAATAAAATATAAGTACTTAAAGATAAAATTCTAATGTACTACGTAGAAACAAAACGTAATGGTATGGTAAGTAAAAATGAAATAAACTTTAAAATATGTTAAGTTTTATGAAGCAACACACGGTTAGCAAAAGTATATGCGTCATAAAAATTCGTTTTTTGGAAAATAACACAAATTATATACACAAGAACCAGTTAACGAAAATTCTGTTGTTGTTGTTAAAAATATAAAATAGAAAAAAATTACGAATAAATACACTATCAACATAGCAAGTTGAATTATTTGTTTCCATTTGCAAACCAAATAGGAACACTATGTACAAAATGCTACGAAACTCAAGAAAGCGAAACTAAAACTAAACATGAGCATTCCCAAAAACTGGTCTTACTGGGTCTGAGTATTTTCGGTCCGGTTCGTTTTGTTTGGCAAGCATGTTGCTCTTGAAGGCACTGCCAGGAGTCAATCCTCTTTCAATCATTTCCAAGTTGTTGTGATTGGACTCAACAGCTGATAAACGACGTATTTTAGGCAAATTTATACCAAGGCTGTTTACGATGCTCATTCTTTTAGGCTGAACAATAGCTGAGGACAGTGAGGTCAAGCTGTTGTCATCTTCTACTGGATCCGGCTTCACAACAACTGAAACTGGATAATTGGTTTTCTTTACCAAATAATCCACAGTAGATCCGTTGGATGGATTGCTGTTGAATGGATAACGACGTCCCAACACTATCAAACTACACTTCTCATCCTTTGCAACTTCGGCTATACTTTTACCCGGCTGCCTGCAATAGTAGATGACATTAATGCGGCCCCTGATCTGTCAACAAAAAATTTAAATGAAAATAAATTCAAAATTTTACCACATTTCCATACGATCAGCATTTCAATTTATTAATTAAATGTAAATGCATTGTATGCTGCCCAATGAAAATAGTTGAAACGAATCGTTAGCGTTTTTGCTGGAACAGCTGGACATTAGTTATCGTACAATTGAATGTAATTAAATGAAATTATTATAGTTTTTGAAAGAATTGCAACATCAGAGAAAACGAGCGACGAGAATATTGTTTGAATGAAGAGAATGAAGACAACTGGGCGATATGATATCACGCTGCTGCTGTTCATTGTCACAAACATTTGAGCTTATTACCAGCTAATATTATTCATTGTATTCATGTTGATATTAAAAGTTAAGAATATTCGTTCGTTACAATGGCGTTCGCATTGAACAGTTCACTCGGCGTGACGTTCGCACTTGGAGTAAACATTTAAAACGAAATACGCACAAAGCAGTTGAACAGGTATGAGCCTGTTTCGACAGAGTTTTCAACAAGAATGTCCGTAGGATACCATTCACATATGAATTTGTTGCTTTTAGAAATTGTTAGAAATTTAATTTTAACAATTTTCAAAGTTATTTGTGTTTAAAATAAAAAAGTTTATTTATAAAAACAGTATTAAGCGACATTACAGTACGAAGTTGCTAAAATTTTGGCGTGTACCATTTGATTTTTTTCTGTATCCATATTAAATTCATTAAATTCTTTCTGATGATTTTTGTTTTTTTGTTGTTGTTGTAGGTTAATGTACATACAGTTTTTCATGTTTCAATAATTGCTTTCAGTATAAACTAGTTGAAAAGCATGAAGCATAAAAAATATTGTCAGTAGATATTTAATAAATTTCATAATTCTTCGCCAACTTTACTTTTTAAAATTGTGTTACAATACAAAGCATAGAATACAGTATATTTTGAATTGTTCATTGCTTCATATTTGTCTTGTGTGATGTGTGTGTGTATTTGAGTGTGAGTGAGTGAGTGAGTGAGCGAGCGAGTGAGCGAGCGAGTGAGTGAATGAATGCGCAACTCAAAATAATTTCTTAGTTGTTTTTCTATTCCATTGTTTGTTTCATGCTATTTTTGTATATTTTGTATTGTTCAGCTTATAGTACTAATACATATTTTCAAAATATCATTTCGTTCATCAATTTATTTAATCATATAACGTTTGTTTTTTCATTAATTCATGCCACATCTATCTGCATAGCCTCTCAACAATCATAACGATTAACAATGATTAACATCATTAATCATAATAACGTGCATTCATCAGTGAGTGACCTCAATGAAATTTGATCATCACTGTTAAGTGCTGAGCTGACTAATTCGTCGTACGAATGTTTAAGTAGGAATTAAAGAAATTTTTCGACTAAATTAATTGCATGAGTCCACCGACAATAGGAAAATATAAAATTAGTTGCATTTACCATGGAAGATTAAAATGCGAAAATACCATGACATCACAACATCAAACGCATCAGCCAGCACTCTATCAGGTTAACAAAACAAACTAACATATTAAAACATTATAGAAATAATAGGTAATATTGCATCATTCGAGATGCCCTCCGTCACTCTAACATTACGTTACATCAATAAAAAGAACTGGTTAACATAACATCATTACATTACATACATCAATACAAAATTGCTTAAACTAGAAAGCCACCAACTCTGTTACTCCTCATCTTTTCTTCATATTTGGTCTGCAAGTTCTTCACGATTTGCTTGTCATCTGCCTCATTCTTCTCTCTCACACTCGCCGAATTGAAAGTCATTTCTGTCGAGGCGAACATTTCAAATAAAGAAGACACCATGAAAATATATCCAATCTAATTAAATCGCGGATTAATTGGATGCTGTAAATATATGATTGTTGTGATGAGAAGGCTTGTGAAGTTTCACCTGGGTTTCATCTGAATCACACGCAGGCTTAACGTAACGTACGAACACGCAATACACACCCTACTGCAGTATTCTAGCCGACAAAAACACGTTAGGTAGATTGCAGGTGAGGTAATTTTAGTATTAACACCAGTAGTATTGATACATTCATTATGCGTAGTAAGCAGGTACGGTGTGTAATGGATGGCTGACATTATTTTCTTCATAACTAGGTTTATTAATTATATTTTATGCCAGTTTTGATCTCGTGTGTTAATAATAAAGATTATATCCTGATTAAAATCATTCATCAGCAGATTATTTGCAGGTACAACATGCCAACGACCTCTGTTACAGCAAATAATTTCGTAGCTATAGCTGCTGTTTTTAATACTACAGCAAGCTACAACTACTACTACTGCCACTACTACTACAGCTACTACTACCAATACTACTACTACCAATACTACTACTTCTACTACATCTACTACTACTGCTACTACTATTGCTGCTGCTATAACCATCTACTAGTAATACTTCTACAAGGTTTGGTGCTACTACAACTCTCATTAATGGAGAAGCAAATAAAATTTCATTTCATTTCAATTCTTCACAAGTATTATAACTACTTAAATTTACACGCGTGTTGCTACAGTACTTAAACTACTACAGTAGACACAGTAATTACTACAGTACACACAGTAATTACTGCAGTAATTAAGTGCCGAATTATCTGATCAGCACTGCTGTTGGTGGTAGTAATAATGATGATAATTGAAATAAAATTCCAGAAGTTGTCTCACGGTTTGATGAGTAGATATGTGGTTCGACGACGTGGACGAGCACCAACTCGTTCTCCGGCTTGTGATAGTGCTGCACGTAGACTGGAAACATTGTTAGTCATGTAGGGGTTGAAATTATTCCGATTAATGAATGAATGAGTGAGGAGTGAGTGAGTGAGTGAGTGAGTGGATGGGTGGGTGAGTGAATGAATGAATGGATGGATGAATGAATGAATGATTGAATGAATGAGTGATTGGATAAAAGACGGAACAAGTGATAAATGAATACACATGTAAGTATATCAAAATGTTAAGAGATATTCTTTCAGTAATGAGAAAAAATTAAGTACTAACTCGGAGTAAATATTGATTAGAAAAAACAAAAGAGACGCGGTTATGGGAATGAAAAGACGAACGAAACATCAGCAACATATTATTAAACACTATTTATATAAAAATTATTCGCATCAGCTTGTTCCTTTCATTTGCAATTTAACATAATAAACGATATATAAAACTTTCAAGACTAAAAAAAAGTATTTTAATTACGCTAGTCAAACTCTATAAAGACCAGGGATATAAATATATATTAAATTTATATATATCCATAGTAAAGGCCATCAGAAGAGCTTAAATGGATGAATGATGAATTAAATAGATGAATGATGAGTTAAATGGATGAATGATGAATTAAATGGATGAATGATGAATTAAATGGATAAATGATGAATTAAATGGATGAATGATGAATTAAATGGATGAATGATGAAATAAATGGATAAATGATGGATTAAATGGATGAATGATGAATTAAATGGATGAATGATGAATTAAAAAGTGAATTTGAGAACAACTCACAATCGAACGCGTACTCCGACCCGTAATTTCCATCGACACCCAGGACAACTGTGTGTGAGCGGTTCTTATTCATGTCAGTTACTTTTCAACTCTATGTGTGTGTGTGTGTGTACGTGTGTGTACGTGTGATACACGTGTGATATGTGTGTGAAACACTGTGTGTGTTGTCTGTGTGAGAGTGTGTGTGTGTGTTTGTGTGAAACAATGTGTGTATGTGTGGGACTGTGTAAGTGTATGTATGTGTGTGAGTGAGACATTGTGTGTCTGTGAGTACGTTTGTCAATTTGTATATCAGCATGCTGTAGCGAATGTGTATGTCAAAGTGTGTTGTAGTAGGAAAGGTGAGCATGAAATTAAACATAATACTATAAACTTCCTACTTTTATTATTGAAATTATTTTCACTTCCATATTGAATTACTAGCTACGGAGAAGTTTTCTTCCAAACCCATATTCTAACTAAACCGTTTATTCTCAAACATTCATTTTTTCAAATATTTTTTTACTGAAACTGGAACATATAACAAATTTCTAACCCGACTATTATGAAGCTCAAGTTACCAAGTGGCAGATTTGTTTAATCAATCAAAAACGCTACCAGCCAAAATTTGAACATATAAATTAATGGTTACATTTTTCTATAACTTATAAGATAATTGGCATCATCTAATTTACGTTCCTTTAATGCCAGTATCTCATATCATATCTTCCGATTCTCAAAAATTTTTTTATCGTATTTAATTTTAACAAATTTTTTCTAAAATTCATTCAAAAGCATGGGAATAACGAAATTCTTCCTCACGTGCTCCCGTCAAACAAGTGCATGTTTGTATTTGTGGTGAAGGTAGGATGCGTTGGTACATGTATGAGTGTGTGTGTGTGTGTGTGTGTGTGTGTGTGTGTGTGGTGTGTGTGTTCAAGTGTGTTATGTAACTTTATACCTTTGATGGGTCGTTCCTCTTCCCGATTTGTTAATGACGTTAAGTAGCTCACTTGAGGTTGCTGTTTGTCTTGAAATTGATGATGGAAGCGAAGTTGTTGATTCTGTTGTTGGTTTTTCAATGTGGTAGGTTGCAGAGAGAATGGAATGTTTCAAAAGTTCAAAAATTATAGGAATTGTTAGTTGAGGATTTGAAAATTTTGAAATATCTCATATAAAAATTTCACAAAAATTTAAAATAGTTAGCTGATTGGAAAACGGAATGTAGATGGATGTTCGTGAATTATTTCAGCAACTATCAGGACGAATAAACATGATCTGATTCCATTTTTTAGGATCCTAAATTAAATTAAATTAAAAAATAATCTACGTTAAAAATAATATGTTTATTATTCGAAAAGATAAAAAATTGTAAGTAAACAATGTGATTTATAAATAATTAATAATCGAGTAAACATTCATCATTATTATTTTATACAGACGTTCAGTAGGTAATTTCATAGTCAACTGACTTGAAAATACACAGTATATTAAACAACATAAGGCTAACAGTTATTTAATGCCATCAAATAATTCCCATTACGCTACTACACACATAAACAAACATGCACAAACAGGAATCTGATTTACATAGTAATTAAACACCTACTTATATTCACAATGCAAAACTTGAAAAGCCAATCATTTTGAAATAAAGAAATTATATCAAACAAATAAATTTACACCACCTTCACTGATTTATCCAAATTAAATGTTGTATCAAATATTTATGATTGAATATAAAAACAACGGAATGAATAAATAAATGAGCAGACACAAATCGTTGTTCGACCAGTAAATAAACATGAAATACGAGCCAAACAAACGTTTATTGTATTGAATTGTATTGTATGGGCTGAGGCAGTGAACAAACAAGCAAATATCCGAATTTGTCGTGCGTATATCCTTAAATGCAGTTCAGCAATATTCAGATTCTTTTATTCTCTTATAAACAATCTGCTCGCACACACACACACACACAAACACACACACGCGTACAAATTCAATTCAACTATTGGCTCGTTTGTTTGTTGTGTTACGTGCAAAACTGAGGTGCATGTTTCGTCTCTCTATGCAAGTGTGTGCATCTCAGTCTTCTATACACATATGAATGCCTGTGAACTTATTTTCTTATTACGCACATCTTTATAAACTTATACACACATATATATTTACATATAAATGTAATATATATATATATATATATATATATTTACATATAAATGTTATATATATATATATATATATATATATATATATCAAATCTATTTACCAAATTTTTAGCCTTTGAAAGTTTACGATTGTCTCAACATTTCTAACAATAATTTTATAATTATTACCAAATTTATTAGAATTAATAAGAAGATAATTGGTGTTCATGGTGAAGCATATAGGCCATATTTCGATTTTATTCATCATCAGCGCTAATATAGGGATATATTATATATTTCAAGGTTTTATAATTCTCTGGATGTGCAAAGTGCTTTTATTCTGCTTTGTCCTGTCCGTTTATTATATCTTTGTTCTGCTCACTCTCTTTGCTTGTAAAAGTCTTTCGATAATATTTTTCTGGTCGGTAACGATGTTGCTATTCTTTGCTGCTTTTTGATTTGCAGTTTTCTTTGGTCAGTGAAAATCGCTTCAGCAATTCTTAGATGGCTGTGGTTCTTGTTACCGTATATTAAACTAGTTTTGTTTACTAATATCTTTTGTGATTGGATCGTTTTGATGTAACGTTTTCCAGGTGATTTAAATGCAGGTGACATGTGGTTTCTGTAGTAGAAAATTATATTCTCGCTTGTTTGCTGTTGTTATTATTGAAATACAGACGATAGAGTAAATCTGAGAATTTATTATCAAAATGCAAAATTGCATGTATATATATATATATATACATATATATATATATATATATATATATATATATATATATATATATATATATATATATATATATATTACAATATTCTATAAATTCTACCGAATGTTTGGCGTTAATATGTTTGTAGTTCGTTTTTTCGATTTTTCTCACTAAAGTTTTTTGGTGAACGTTTAGTTTATTAAAATAAAATGAACGTTTAGTTTAATAAACATTTATATATATATATATATATATATATATTATGAGTATTTTTATGAACTTATATATACACACATAAATTCATATATATGCAAGGGATCAAACAAATGAATGTATGCGATAAAATTATTCTTAGTGCAACTACCTTTCTTCTGTTAAATTCTCTTCAGCAGGTTGTCACTACGCTGTCTTGCTAGTCAACTCTTTTTCGTCTCTTACCTGTTCTAGCACTTTTTTTCATTTTGCAACATTTCATTTGCTATAAGTTTTTATCTATTACAATTATCTATTATCGCTAATCTATGACATTAGCGATAATAGAGATGATACAATTTTTACTTGATTCAGTATGAATACGTGTGTACGACGATAAAGCTGATGATAACGAATATTTTAATACGTGCGATGACGATGATGACGAAGTAACAGACGCATTTGAAAGATGGTTGGTTCATAGGAATTCAATTTGAAAGCAGTTGGTATATTTTCTCACAATATCTACGTGCCGATTGAATAACATTCACGATGTTTGTTTTTGTTGATAGTTTCGGGGTCTTTGCTGTCTTTTTTTTGCATTTTTTACTAGTAGTGATTTCGATAATGAAGATATGGTGATTATGACATTGGAGATTATTAAACAAATCCTCAAAAACCTTTACTAATTTCATTCTTAGCAATGAATGATATCAACAAATCCATCTACTTAGACCATTGCCACTTATGCCTTTAGTCCGGCGGATCTAGACGGGGGCTAAGATTTTCAACAAAAATATTTAACGAGCGGGAAAGGGAATTTCCAAATTTTGATTTCGATTTCGTTGAAGACCGGGAGGGTGAAATTTTCTAGTACAAGTTTATGATTTTGGCAAAATGTTTCAATTTTGACCAACGTTTTCACAGGGGAGGCCAACTTTTATAGTAATGTGGTTAAGATTTTATTTACCATTTTTTTGGTTTCTTCAAAAACACTACTTTTTACAGTTTAAACAAAGACTTCTACTTACTTTTAACACAAATAACATTCACAACGGGGGAGGGGCACTGGTCCCCTACATTGCCACTGCATGCCTTACATAGGATAATTCTCACAACACTTTTTTAATAATATTAATTAATATATCAACGTTTACTTTTTATTAACATCTTAAAACACTCTCATCAAACAGCAACCTAAAAATATTCAATTACTCACTGATCGATCCAAATCAATTAAAACATTGAGGACAAATGCAAGAATCAATTAAAATATTGAAAACTATGCGAACCAGCAGTAACCGAACGCAGATCTTTTTAGATGCACTGCTGAGTACATATTTCTTCGATACAATTTAAATTCTGCTCAGTCGTTTGTAAGAACAGCGTGTGACCAAGTAAAACGGAGTTTCTAAAGTTTGTGTGAATGTTGATTGGTTGATTGGCGGCCGGTTGGTTAGTTGACTTGATTGCTGGTTAGTGTTTCTGTACATGAAAAGTTATCTGCAAAATTTGTATCAATTTTGTTTTTGTATAAACATTTGTATCTCGAATACATACTTTGTTGAACTCGATCGAATTTACCAGGTTGTTTCTTTTCTTTTTCAAGTTTTCCGATTTACAAATTAGTTTCTTGTTTTCGTAATGGTCTACATTCCACATACATGTGTACTCATCTTTGATTCACCTCTCCAATTTTATCAATATAACATAACTACAAGCAAGAATGAATAATGCATTAAGAGGGGTGTATACATTTACAGGTATGTGTTTATGTTTCTAACTTTCAAGTGCCGGGGGACGGCTATGTGAGCCTATGCTCAAACGCTCATTCAAATCTATATCTGAATATGTATGTGTTTGTCTGTGCTGTGCAGTACACACATGCATGTATGTTTTTTTGTATGCATGTTTGTTTGTATGCTTGTTATGTTTCATTTCAGTATATGTGTACTGGCAGGTATGCAAGTGTGTGTACGAGCTCGACTTTGCCCTGTATATCAGTTATTTTATGTGTTTATGTTAATGTTGGAAAATATTTCGAACTTATAATTGTCGCATAACAGGAATATCATCAAAACTTGCATGCATGAATTTATTTCAGCATATTTATAAATAAGTGTTGAATGCCTGTCCAGTGTTCGTGTATCGTGGATCCTCACCGTCTATACTCGTACGTTGCAATTCTTGCATTTGATGATAAATAATAATAATCCAACATTCATTCGTATGTCTGTGCACCTAATGCAAATGCCTCTTTATGTGAAATACGTTAGTGTTCCGTAGTATCTGTACTAAAATTTGTTGTGCACGCAGTAAGGAAGTAGATACAATGGTTATTCGAACGCTAGTGCATCCTGCATTATTGAAATAAAAAACAACTAATTGAACTTGTGGTTTCTTCATGCTTGTATGTGCAGATTTCTACATTTGTGGTTAAACGTCCTACCTCGGAGGAACTTGGTCTCTGGACACTAAACGAAGATTGATTGATTGACACATAAATACGCGTATGTACGTATTCAAACATTTGAAGACTCACGCATTCGCACGACGACACGCTGCACATGAAAAGGAAGAGCCAAGAAGAGCCTATCTGAACGATCTGATTGTTTTAAATAATTCCGATACCGTGAAATGAGCGCTCATATTGCATTATTCTAATCAGGACACCAAATGAAATAATTATCTACCTACCAATTTCACCGACTGAGAGTTATTGTTTGCAAATCGATTGATATCATTTACCAGGCACAGAAACAATTAATATTTCTTATTCAATTACTGCTGTTTACTAGCAAACACAATCGTTACACAAACCTTTAATTGCTTTAAACAATATTTAAAATCTTTAAGATAAATGAAAATGTCTAAATGTGAAAAAAATCATTGACCTAGACACATTTTCAGAAAGAAAAATAAAATAAAATAAAACTGCAGCCAGCAAATATTTTACAAATATTGAACATCTATGAATACAAATAAATACAAATAGCAGTGTCGAAATTTTGATCCAAAAGAATTAGGAACATGTTCTTTGAACAATTGAGAATGGAAGGATTGGGTCGGTAGCTTCGAGGTCAAGCGAGGTCACTAAACATTCGGATGCAACTTTCGAATCCCCCAAAGATTCCAAGACCTGTCCGAGGGTTCGCCTGTTTGGAATTGAAATAAACAAACGATTAAAATGAGCATGTGACAAAATGAGAATGTAATTGAAAATAGTATGTGATCAAAAAGAGCACGTGATTGCAAAGTGCATGTGATTCTGATTAACCTTACACAAACGCTAGTCATTAAAATGATCCTAGTTAATCAAAATGCGATTAAATTAATCAGTGTTGAATTGTTTCGATAATATTAGTAGGTGTTAGTTTAGTAGTTGATTGACTGAAAATACTTTTTATTTAGTAAAATAAAATTGATTGAATCGAGCGAACTTCTTATTCAACCACATCAATATCGTAACACTGAATACACCAATTTCCAGACTGAACATCGGTAACTTATTTATATCTAAGTTATATTTTGTGTATATTTTGCAAGACATCGAGCCAACCATGCCGACCGACCAACCAACCAACTGACCGACCGACCGACCGACCAACCAATCGACCGACCGTCCAACTTACCAAGCCATACTGGACGTAGGATCAGAACTGACCGCATTCCTCAAAGTCGTCTCGGCAAGTCTGTCGTTGCCCAAGCGATGTAGCACGATGCCCTGGTGGAAATGATGACGACGATGATTGCGTTGTTGTTGTTCGTGATGGTGATGACAACTGAGATTATGGTGATTAAATGATGGTGATAATAACAAATGATGATAAAGATGAATATAATGATGTTTATGCCCCCATTAAGAACGAAAATGACGATATTATTAGTGATATTAAGCCTCTTGCCCATGTCTGAATAATAGCAACACTAAAATGAACATCAACAATATTCATGGCAAAGCCAGCAATAAAATTGTTCCTAAATAGAATAGTTCAAAGATGGAAACATTCGCGAGGACAGCTTTCATGACGAACACGAAACAAGGAGGAAAATGAAACCGGAAGGACGGAAGAAAACGACAGAAAATAGTTCGAACGAACCAATCTGAGCATGCTCCTGACGTGAGACGGATTGATGGAGATGGCATTCTCGTAGACCTTCCTCGCTTCATTCAGCATACCCTTCGACTCCAAATACCTGCCTCTCTATAAACCATGCAACGAACAAATGAATGATATCGAATGGATCACGAATAAATTAATCAATCAACCAATCAATCAATCGATGAATCAATCGGTTAATAAATCAACCAATCGATGAATCAACCGATGAATCAATCGATTAATAAACCAATCAATCAACCAGCCAATCAATCAATTTCACACGCAAACCAACTAACGAACAAAAGCAATCGAGACGACACAGTAGCCCAACCACAAACCATGTAGGAGACAACATGAGACATGGGACAGAGAGTTCCCGCTTCTTGTATGCACGCCTGCGCTGAATCCAACTTCTTCAGCTTCAAGTACAATTCAGCTGGTTGGGCAGTTTGTTTGAAGTTGGTGTTGGCAGCATGTTTGTAAGTACGCATGTACATAGGCATGTATGTAAATGTCATAATGTGGCACGTATGCATGATTTTTTGATTGATTGATTGATATCTGTAAATAAAACTTCAAATGAGGTTAATTTAATGTACATATCGACAAAAACGATGTTAAAAATAAACCTATCCAATCCAGCTTCTAAAAATACATCACAAATTGGGAAACCTGAACATTGCATAAGCACCAAAAAATAGATCTAAAAAATACCAATAAATCGCAAGCAGAGCTTGCGATTTAAAACATTAGAACTTCAGTTAATCAATCAATCGATCGTCCAATCATTCTTTCATTCCATAAACATTCCTTCACTTAATCACACATCACTCAATTCTTCATTCAATCGTGAACTCACCAAGCAGCAACCAGATTTGTGCCTGCAAGAGAATGGCTTGCTGGGGACCTGAAGGTACCACAGATCTGTGTGGCAGTGGTTGTTCAGTGTTTGATTGGCAGTTGTGGTCATTCGTTGAATGTTTCGTTTATTGCTGATGGTCGATCAGTATTAAGTTTTTTGCTGGTTATGTGATTGCTCGTATGTCTGTTCACTGCTTGTAGGTTGCATGATTGGTTGCTTTTGTGTTTGATTATGTTTTTCAAGCATTTTGAATGAACAAATCGTTAACAAGAAATAGCATCAGGACATAGCACCGTAAATTAGAGAACATAAAAAAATTTTTACACGCAGAATTTTCTTATTGAACATTTGAAATAACAACACTAAATACCTTAATGACAATTATCATGATTGTCATAGACACACATAAAATCTTCATCACAACGCGATTCGTTCTATTCATTTTCATCATCACCACCATCATCATCTTTTCTTCCTCCTCCTCACCATCATTATTATCCCCCACCAAGGTACCTACCTTGGCTGAAGGTTGCTTCCAAGGGATGAAGCGACCTCCCACAAGTTTTGCTCCAACCTGGATGCTGCAACTGATTCTGCTCTTGTCGACCCTGTTTGTCGTTTAGTATTGTGGCAGTTGTTTGTTTATTTGTTGTTTGTTTGTAGTTTGTTGTTTGCTTGCTTGTTGTTCGTTTGTTTGAGACAAGCCCAAATACAACCATGCCAGCAATGGTGAATGAATGGAGATGACGTGAAAAATCACAACACCAACAACTCAAACTGACCGGAATCTCGATCGGCAACCTCACAATATTGCAAGTGCAGGAGGGATTGGTGATCGTTGGTGATGCGCTCCAGCAACCCTGTTCCTCCTCCTCCTCCCCCCACCCGATCATCCCTGCATATTCACGCCAATTCGTTAGAGCCATTATATTCTACAGCATCAACATCATCAGCTTTACTCACATCAGCACCATCATAATGGTGATTAATACCGTGATTAGCACCATCACAATCACCGTCTCATCCTCCTCATCATCATCATCACATCATCAGGTGACATCATTGCATCATCGCCATCAGTAACTACTGACGCAGTATCCAGTATGATGCACTCAAACATGGATTTCCAGAGTTGAAGCATGTGCCTGCATGTTTGTAGGGCCACCTCAGCCAGACCGAGTTCCACATCCAGTTTGCATTTTGTGAAAAGTAAACTGAAGTTACGATAGGTTAAATTTAATTTTTTATCAAAAGTGAATTACTTCAATGAATAAAGCAAGTAATGAAGTAACAAACAAATTTGCAGAAATTAAATTTATGTCAATCCTGGCCAATCCAACCCAAATAAAAGTCAAATGCCAATCTTATCAAATGAAAAGTGAATGAATCACCCAGCCAGAACAGTAGATTGGATTAAACAACCAAGTTTGATGGGTGAAATGTTTTATAAGCTAACCAGTCAATCAATCATCAAACCACCAAATCATCCAACTGACCAGTCAAGCGATCATCAAACCACCAACCTAGCCACCCACCTAACCATCCAGTCAACCAGCCAGACCAACCTGAAATCGTCAGGATATTCAACAAGAGTAGCTTCAATGAGTTTGGAAGCTTCTTCGTATTGTTTCTGTGAAGTGAGAAGAAGTACAAGTAGATGGAGTGACTGGAGATGGTCCCTCCTCAATTGCAGGGCCGTCCGCACGTAGGAAAGTGATTCCACTATCTTCATGGTTCATTTTTATGCATATAAATATTTTACATGAATGAATATTTTTATCATGATTTTTCAAAAATTCTAATTTAAAATTTAGTTTGAAAATAATTTATTCAAATAGAAAAATAACAGCACAAATGGATTTTAATTACATTGGTTCGATCTTACGACGTACTTTTTGATAAATGGTTGTTTTGTCGTTGCAATTAACGTCGCCATATTAACATCTACACCATCATCATCATCATCGTCTACACCATCATAATCATCTACATCATCATCATCATCTACACCATCATCATCATCCACATCATCATCATCCTCTACACCATCATCATCATCATCTACACCATCATCATCATCCACATCATCATCCACATCATCATCGTCATCATCATCATGAAGACTACTACCTTCCTGGACACGGCCATCTGATAGGCCATATGAAAGTATGCCAGATGGTCCGATGAATCAATGGAGATGGACCTGCAATGAGAAGAAAGTGGGACGGAGATAGATCAGAAAGTTGAAATTCATTCACGCGTTGGTTAAGGTTTGATGCTTATTGTTAAGGTTAAATGTTAAGGCTTAATGTTTTATGTTTATGAGCGGAAGCGAATTTTACATGGAGCAGTATTATGACCGCATGGCAAACCACACAACAGCCAAACAAACACGAGCCAGATCACGAGGACAGGACAAGTCAATAAAAATATTGAAACAACCGATTTGATCATTATTGAAAAATAAATTCAGAAACAGTAGACAGTTGTTACCAAAATCAACATGAACAATAACAACATTAAAAACAGCAAAAATAAAAAAAAACATCAGTATCATCAACAACCTCATTAAACTAGATGGTTAAAAACATCAACAAGAAAACCACATCCAGACAGACAACCAGAATGAGAAAAAATCAAGTATACAGGTAAAAAATTAGACCACGAAACAGACAGAGAGATAACCAAACAAGCCATCAGACACACGAAAACAAGCAACAAACAATCGAACAATGAGACAGAATGACCGACATCTTAAAAGCTTCGATAGACATCTTCTGGTACATCTGCCTCTCGGTTAACATTTTCAGTTCTTCTCTCTTTAGGCTGTAACCTGTTTGTTTCAACATGTCATGATGTTTTATACTGCCATTAAATTGGTACTAAATTTGTACTGCCAAAATTTGCACGTTCAAATGAATATTAAGAAAATAATGATCAGCAATAATAGTGAGCAACTGATAAATTAACCATTAAGTCAACAAAATTCATGAACCAATTAGTTTATCAATTAACTCTTTAATTAACTTACAATCGGCCAGCAAACCAAACAACCGATTGACAAACCAACCAACAAACCAACCAACCAACCAACCAACCGATGCCCAGAAAGAGATGACCTCTTGCATGGAACAAGGACTTTTGAGTTTCCAACATTGGATTCTGCAAATGAATTTGATTGCAGATGTGTAGTGTATCGAGGATTAGATTATAGAACATGTGTTAATATAATGCTTTTACAAAAGATGAGAAAGATATTAACAATAGTTAAGTTAGTTACCTTTTGTACTGGATTGTTGGAGTGTGATGCAGTGGAAGAAGATGACGACGATGATGAAGAACATATCCTGATGACTTCTTCGGAATGTTTAATACCATCATCAACCTTAAACATTAGAAACGTTCTTTTCAAAAAGTAAAAAGATTGATGATAACAGCCTCCATAACTCTCCTAGACACAAACCAGATTGAGATGCTCATAGCAGAGTTTGGCTGCCATCATGTACAGGGTTGGATTTTCAGGGGAGAGTTTCATGCACTCCTTCAACACAAAGTACGCCCGACTGAACTGAAGGGACGATGCAAGTTTCAATGAATTTCATTTCAGATGACAATAATTATTTTTTGATCAGGAATGAGAATGTTAGCTAACTTTCTGCGAGCATACAAGCGAGAGGACAAACTGAAACCAAATGTGGAATTCATTGAATGAAAATTTCATCGCTTTTTCGAATGTCTGTAGTAATTAAATAATGATCAATGTCCGTAATATTGAATTAAAATTAATTTTTCCATTTTTTAAATTGTGTTACAATTTCGACGAATTGATAAAATTCAATTCATCTGTTCAATCCACATTCACATCGTTTGCAACTATTATATGCAATATTGTATATATGACATTATCTAGTTGATAGAATTACTTATATAACACAATGAAACACTTTATTTCACAAATTTTCAGAGATTCAGTTTCATAATTAAGGTTACTCTGAAGTAATGGATTGAAAATGTCTTCCAATAAACAGCCAACCAACCTAGAAACTAATCAATCAACCGACCGGCCAGCAAATCAATTATCCATTCAATCAACCAGCCAATCAACCACCCACCCACCCACACAATCAATCAATCGGCCAACCAACCAACCACCCATCCAACCAGTCATCCAACTACTACAAGAACCCGTGCAACCTCGGAAAGTAGATGATACTGAGACTTCCTGGCTAGACAGATGGTCAGCAGGTCGTACACGGATGTTGCATTGTGCAGTGTGTGGCTGCGAGCCTGGGACAGCTCTTGAGACCTGTTCAACACCACCTCACGAGTTGCCTGGCATCATCAGCGATCAGAATTAATCATCATCAGTCACATCCATCACTCAAACAAATACCCATCACTGCCCTAAAAATATTCATAAAACATTCACACAACATTTTCAACAAGTAAGCAACGAATCAGCAAAGAAGTGAAACTCGCAATAGATTCTGATATAAGCAGAAGAAGCAAAGTTTCTTCGTTTTCGTCTTTTGGGATGAACAACCTTCACAAATTTAATATTTAAAACAATGATTTAAGAATCAATTTTACTTCATTTTGATTACAAAATAATAACACGCGAAACAACGAAACTTGCATTACCTTTAAAACTGTTGCTTTTTAAAATTCAATAAATCGCTATCCTAATGCGTTGAAACACTTACAAATGGAACAAACATTCCAATAATCTTTAGCATACATACTACACAGAGAAACAAACAGCAGCAACCTACTTATCACTGGCAAACTTCTTAAGTTTCAAAATATTGAAATCGTGAGGATCATGTTGTTGTTGTTGCTGCTGCTGCTGTAGCAACTGTATTGGAGTGTACGACGCCCTACACACACCTCTCATCAACACCTCCGCCAACTGCCTTGCAAGAGTCTGCCTCAATCAAATCAATTTCTATTCAATTCCTATCATACTGACCATAGCGATCAATTTAATTCAATTTGTTTGTATCAATTTAATCAGCATTTTGTAATTAACTGGGCGACTCTGACACCATACATGGGGCGCTGCACAACCGTGCAATTTGATCAATTGAATCAGTTGGGGTAATTGTTGCTTGTAGTTGTAGGTTTCGGCTGTGTAGTTTAAAAATGTGATAAGAAATGATAGGATAAATATGCATTTAGTAATGTATGATCAATTCTTAAAACTTTCTTTCATCTTTCATCCAATGTTTATGGTAGTCACCACAGGAAAATTATTATTGGTAGATCATCCACTCATCCACTCATTTTTATTGGTATTCATCCACTCATTCATTTCTCCATCCATCCATCCTCTACCTGTCTCATTCCCTGAGTGGCCTTCACCTCAACGACCCTCAACAAATCTCGAAATCTGTTGATGCCCTTGTCAAGTTCACTGCAGCCATGTATGAAGGTTGTGAAAGGAATAAAATAAAATATGATCAAGTAAAACCACAAACATCAAATCAAATTATTAGATCTAACATAACATGGTACAGATAGGTAAAACGTGAACTAGCAAAAGGAAAAATAGTATGCAGAATCAAGGTAACAATTATACAATGACTGGCTCAACACTTAACCATTAATAGTTGACAAACTTGAAATGTAACAATTATGTAACAAAATGAGATGTCTAAATATGTCAAATATTTTAGTCAGAATGATTTAACAAAAGAGATTGTGGTTGATAAATTTATCATCCACATCAATTTTATGGACATTAGAGCCCTGCGCGGTTTGCGGTTGTCGCGATTTAAACCGCAAAAACCGCACCGCAACCGCGGTTTTTTGCGGTTGTGGTGCAAAATCATGCGGTTTTACGCGGTTGCGGTTTTGAAATATGCGGTTTTTCCGCGGCGCGGTTCCTTTTATCAAAACCGCGGTGACCGCAAAAATTTTGTTAAATATTTTTGTTCGTCCATAACATTTTAAAAATTGCATTATCATTGTAATAATTTTATATATTACAATCTTAATATCTTTGGAAGCCGTTGAAGCAACCATTTTCTTTTTCCTGTTTGCTTTGAAAGAAGTAGTTATTTTATTTACGGCGTGGTTAATTATCGATTATTTTATAAAAATGTCCGAGGTAAAAAATGTTGAAGTTGATCCACAGGTAGATGTAATTGATAAAGAATTTTTGATTAAATTGATGCTGTCCAAAAGTTTCGAGTGTTTCGTCAGAAAGGATAGGATCATCTCTCAATTATACATTGCAAAAGAGACGGTCCAGTTTAAATCCATACAAAATTGACAAAATGTTATTTATTAAGAGTAACAGTGATTTGGATGTAGATAGTTGTGATTTATAATGTCAATAAAAGCATTAATGTTGTTTTTCATTTCTTGCGGTTGCGGTGCGGTTTCAAATGTTGCGGTTTTGTGCGGTTGCGGTTTTTGAAAATTCCAACCTCGCAGGGCTCTAATGGACATGTCTGTTGGAATATCATAGAAAGTTAATCACACTTAGAATATTGATGAAACAATCACTGCATACATTGCATCAAGAACAGATGCATCAGATGGCAAACAAAACAACAAGAAGTAACTGAAAAATAACATGAACAAAAGAGCAGACCACGGTAAGCATACCACAACAACAGAAACACACCCTCTCCTGATGTAGAGCAGCGGAGATCGTTGAATGGCATGCTCGACCATCGGACTCAACCCAACATTATCAACATCACTGACAGGATGGACCACACCTGTTCCTGAGACTCCTCCCATTTTGGAGCCCCACCTCTCTTGCCTGTCAATCAACTGGAAAAGTGAAATGTTGCCTGATTTTTCGTAGCAGTGAATTATCTCATTTTCTATTTCTGATGGTTGTGATGTTTCCATACTTAGTTGTGGAGTTGTTGCTGTTTTTGTTGGTTTCTGTGCCGTCTGATCAGTTTTTAACTGGGATGCCGTTAACTGCCTCTCTAGACATATACCTACAAGCGCATCATCAGATCATAGGAATGATGGGGAAATAATTGAATGACTAAATAAAAAATATGAAAATAAAAAAAAATGGAGTGCCACCCACCTTTAAGAGAAAAAGCTTCACCAATGAGTTTCAACTTTCTACTACTGATGTCCTGAAGTTGTAATGCATCGAGGCCAATCTCATGATAAATGTTCAACACTTTGTCCAACTCATTCAAGGAGTAATGTAGTTTTGCCATCAACATTAAGGTTTCATGTTTCATGTCGGGCTGTCAATAAGAAAATATTTAATAGTAAACTTTAATATGAAACATAACATGGTCTGATCAGTTAAAACAAATTTATTTATTTTTTAGAAGCATGCTACAAATGTTTTAAAAAATTATTTTAAAAAATTTTAATTATATTAACAACATAATATAACACATGTTAGAAACATTACACAAAAAGGTATGTCAGGCAAAATACTTTCAAGTCCATTGCTTTCAATTCTAAAAGTTCTTTGAAAAGGTTTTGAACTTCTTGGTACGAAGCAGTAGTAGCAGTTGTGTTCATTGTAGAAGATGTTGCGTTGTTCGAACTGCTACCAAATGTAACTGGATTATCTAGTAAGTACCTTTCAACCTTACATTCTGTTTGTAGATACTTGCTCAGTGTTTCTGATTTGAAAAAATTGAGCATAATTTAAATTTAAAATATTGTTTATTTATATACAAGAATGTAATATGCAAACTAAACTGCAATGTTCAATAAAAAACATATAAAAATAAATTTTAAAAAACATGTTCTTAAAACTTAAAAATGTACTTAATTTTTAAAATAAAAAAATGATTAAAAAATTACATAGCAAACCACTGACTGTGACTGTCTGCATTAACTAACTAACTAACTAACTGTTCACTAACCATATGCAGGTGCCTTGGTGGCGATCTGTTTGGACATGTCCAGCAGCCGAGGCCAGTTGCCTTCTGCTCTCAATCTATCAATGTCCGATTCCAATTTTCCGGTTTTGTACGTTTTGCCGGCCATTTCCTAGTGGAGTAGAGATTTACAAATTTAAAGATAAAATCGGTAAACTCGATTTCTAATTTTAGCAGCAGTTAATATTTAATAAACAACAAATAAACTACATTACAACAACAGCAGCAAAAAATTAAGACGAAACGTTTTAAAAGGAAACTTAAATTTTATAAAAGATGAATAAAATGTGATGCGCTTTATGCCATAGTTTATCATCAAACGCACCTCAATCATTACAGTCAGTCATATAAACCAATTATTCTATATATATGGTCGATTCAACATTTACCTAATTTCAAGAACATTTTTGTAATTCGAATCATAAAATTCATTGACTCGACAGAATATAGGGAGTGCATTTCTGCTTGCTCGATCCTCATTTTTACTCTGGTTGGTTTTGGTTTGATACACGCGCGGACGTTTCAATATGTCAAGCCTACACTAATATGATTTATATGTGTATCTATATATACAGTAATCTATAATGTCAAAAGTGTGTGTTTATGTATGTGTGTGTGTGTTGTGTGATATACCTATACAATAATCTATAATGCTAAATATGTGTGTTATGTATGCATGCATATAAGTGTGTGTTTGTGTGTATATCTTTGGCTGCGTGATTTTTTTACTATTAGATAGGTTGAATTTTCCAATATCGTTAGGAAATGCATGCCTTAACAATGAAATGTTGAGCCAACCAGCTAAAAAATACAAAATTTCAAGCTTTTATTGTTTATATTTATTTGATGAAACATTTCAAAATATTAGGTACATATATTTTTCATTCTTCATCTTTATCTTTAAAATCACATTGCCTAGATATGATTACAAAATTTAGACGCAAATCCAATTTCAAATAGTTATATCTCAACATTTTTTTTTCTATGTAACCTCAGCATGCCACGGACTCTTCATTGGTTTGAGACATTGACTCCTTCCTAGAGGTAGAGCTGTTTCGTTTCGTCGTCACTTACATACACTTCAGAAGAACAAACAAGCATAGCACGCTAGGAGACATTTAGTTGGGCAAATGACGACTCGTATTTAATATGTCATATTAATTATTACTATTTGACTTATAAAGACGCACAATTGTAACAAGACAGACAGCCAGCAGTCAGTGCCTACAGGTAAAACGCTGGAAACTCTTGAATAATAAAACGGCGTGAGTGACAATTCCTTCGTTCTGGTGATTCAACGAAGTGGTGTTGCATGCATTATAACCTTCTGATGTCTAATAGTCTTTAAAACCGGCCAACGTTAAATTTAACAAATGATTTATTGTGAACATAACAGCTTTTGCGAGGATCAGTTGAAACTTAATACTTGAAAATATAATTTTTCAATTAAATTAACCAACAAATGTTTTGAAACCTTACAATCGCACAAATCTGTCGTCCTAGCAAACGTACCGTCATACATACACATGTTGTCGAGGATAATAAACTTTATTTGAATTCTTTTGAAGTCTATAAAAAATATAAATATATTTGTTTTTTACATGTTATAAAAAAATGTTCAATTTAATTAAACTAATTTAGTAGAAAAATTTATGAACAAATTAAAAAAATGCCTTTTCCTGAAAAAACGTTTGATACAGGAACGATGTAACAATAAATTCTTACGATAATTTACAACCTAAGCAATTCATATATGATGAAGACAACCTTTCAAATGGAAGAAAATAATTAACTAAAAATTGAGATCATAAAATTTTGGACTTAATTGAAAATAAATAATAACATTTAAAAACTGTTAAGAACGAACGATGATTTCAAATATTAACCTATTAACGATGAATTATAAAGAAAAGTCTGAAACTTAACGACCACAATATATATATATATATATATATATATATATATATATATATATATATATATATATATATATACATTACAACAATACAACAACCAACATACACAAACATCAAAGAAAAAAGACTAGAAACATTAATTTTACAAATAAAATAATGTAAACAACCGTAAATAGTTTTAAGAAAACAAAGGTTATGTAAAAAGGACAAAAAAGAATACTGAGCGTTGCAAATGAAAGATGGATAATAATTTTAAAAGACGGTCAATAAGTGATTTTTGTAACATAATTTGTTTTCATTCAGTGGTTCAAACGCTCATACATTCCACATTATGAAGTCTTATTTGCATTTACACTATAATTCAATTATTTCAGATCAAGTAACTAAGCGGCGCTAAGTTTCATTGGCCTGCCATCAATAAATATACAGTGCTGTAAAATCAATTCTTAAAAATCTGGGTTTTTTACGTTTCTTTTTTAAAAGCCCAAATAATTAAAAATGTTGAAATTTTAGGTTTTTTAAAAAATTTGAAAAACCAAATTTTATAAATAATTTTTATTTATTCAATTTCGATTAATATGGAAATATGAAAGTTTGATAATGATAGCCTTTTACAGAACGATTTTCTTTTTTAATATTTTATTTCAAATTTAGAAATGTGATTTCAATCAACCTAGCGAGATATCGATAATTAAAATTTGACAATTTTTTTAGAAGAATTTTGTTTAATAAATTTTTAAAATGTACTTTTTTATCATTAATTTTGTTAAAATAGCAAAATAAATTTTTCAATTAAGTATTGTAAACCAGGAAATGCAAATTTTTTTGATCCCTTTATAAAATCTAAAAAAAACCTATAAGCCTTCAAATAGCTTATAAAAACCTAAAAAACTTAAAAAAATTAAAAAACCTAGTAGGATTTAAACAGCTCTGAGTGCAAGCCACACTTTGAAAAACGCGTTCGCGTTTGATAAAAATCAAGAAATCAAACACAACACACACACACTTGTGTGTGTGCGTGCGTGTGTGTGTTGTGCAAATTTGTGTCAGTTTGTAAATGAAAAATATCCAACAGATGCCTTTAAAACTGAAAAACACTAAACATGATTGTATAAAATGTTCCGGCTCTTTAGCAGTTTTATAGTATAGTTGAAATGAAATTGAATACAAAAATGATTATTATAGATGCTATACAATTCGAAATGAAACTGATTAATTTAAAAAAAAATCTATTGGTCGATCATAGCATTTGAGATGGCAACACGATACAAAACTTTGACGTTGAAAATTCGGAAGTTAAAATAGAAAGCTACGTTTAATTGAAAACAGTTTTAAAGATTCAGTTACTAAATGTCATTAAAAAATGACTGAAAAGTCTGTTGGTTGAGATGCGACGAACAACATCAATTGTCCACATAACTATTTTACGTTCTATCAATAAATAGAAGGATTAATAACTAAAAATTCCAAGAATTCATCGGACCTCTCATCAAAATCTCCAACAAACATGTCAACAAACAAGCGACTAAATAATCAGACATTCAAACTAAAACAATCATTCAACCAGTTAGCCAGGCAGACAATCAGATAGCTTAGGCAGTTGGACAGTCAGTCAAACAGTCAGAACAGACAGGCGAATAGGCAATCAGACAGAGTCAACCTGAAAATGAAACAAACATGCAGACTAGTTAGTCAGACAGACGGACCAGCCAGCCAAACAAACATTCAACCAATCAGAAACCAGGTTTTCTTTTGAGCAATGCCGCAAAGAATCCTCCTTCAACTTGCGCCAGATTTTGAGGTGTGTCGTGTTCAACGACCTTGCCATTCTCTAACACAATCACCGTGTCGTAGTTCATCAGGGAGGCAGGTCGGTGCTGATGATGATGAACGTGATGTGATGACGACGATGATGATGGCTATGATGATGAAGACGATGATGATGACGGATTTGTGATGATGACGACGATGATGATGGCTGTGATGATGATGATGATGATAGTTGTTATGGTAGTGATGATGACAATGTTATTTAAAAATGCGATAGTGTTTATTAATAATAAAATGGTAATAATTAAAATGGTAATAATTGTGGTGCCATACCAATAAGTTAGTGGTATTTATGAAAAAAAAATTTTCAACAGAGTTATGATGAGAATTATGGAAATTTTGACCGATGAAAAATTTGTTAAGAAATTTTTTACAATAAAATATTTAAAGATAAATATAATGCCGGACAACCCAACAAAAGTTCAACAGAAAATCTCACAACAATCCAACCCCGCCGAGTTTTACATTTGACCACTCCCAGCAAAAACAATTAAAACACTTGATTATAAAATTAACCAATTATTATGTTACTAATCAACCAATCGTAACATTTTTAAATTATCAACCAATCGATACATTTGATTTGATTGTAGCCAACCAATTAAAGCATTTGACGTCAGCCAACCAATCAAAACTTAATAAACAACACCAAATCAACCAACCAACCAACCACTGAATAAGCAAATAAGAGCAACTAACGGACAGATTGATGACAGTTCGGTCATTGAAGGCGGTCCTTAGCACCCTGCATAGAATCATCTCAGTGGTCTTGTTCAACACCGACATCACTTCGTCGATGATTATAAATTTCGACTTCTTCAATATCGCTCGAGCCAGGCATAACAACTAAACACGCGTGAATGAATGAATGAATGAATAAATGAATGAATGAATATATGACTGAATTAATTAACTAATTAATTAATATTAGTCGATCTTAAATGAGATTATGATGTTTACAAAAACATGCTCAACATCATCCTCATCATCATCGTTATTATTATTATTATTATTATTATTATTATTATTATTATTAGTAGTAGTAGTAGTAGTAGTAGTAGTAGTAGTAGTAGTAGTAGTAGTAGTAGTAGTAGTAGAGTAATAGTTAACATTGTTATGGTTTCACACCAGGCAGATGATAATTATGACGGAAGAGAGAACGTATCCAACCTGCTTTTCACTCGTTCCAAAATTATCTCCATTCTCATCCACAACTGCTTCTGTTCCATGAAAGAGTAACAAAATATTATGAAGATTTTTAGGATCGGTTAATCGGTACAGTGCAATCATCAAGTTGATAATTTACGACCAAACCAACCAACCAGCCAACCAGCCAGCCAGCCAACCAGCCAGCCAACCAGCCAGCCAGCCAGCCAGCCAGCCAGCCAGCCAGCCAGCCAACCAACCAGCCAACCAACCAATTAACCAACCAACCAGCCAAATAATGACACCACCAATCAGTCAATCAACATTACAATCGACCGACCAAGTTGTCTGTCCATGTTCTTGATGATCTCCTTCAGGTCCACCTGTTCCAAGGCATCCCATACTTCGTCGTCTGTATGCTTGCATTCGGCATCCAGGTTGAATCTGGAGAGGTTAAATTTTGGTTTTCAAATTAAAACCTTTAATAATAACATTAAGAAAAACAAGAAGAACATTTGACCTGATAGTGCCGCTGAGTAGCATGCAATCTTGGGGCAGGACACTCAACCTTGACCTGAGCAGACATGGTGGGATGTTGTTGATCTTGCAACCGTCCATGTAGATGCTGCCTTCTGTCAAGTCCACCAGGCCGAACAAGGAGAGGATCAGCGAGGACTTTCCACTTCCTGGCTTGCCGCATATTCCAACCTGCAAGATTCATCCAAAAATTATTATGATTACATAGTAAACAATTCTTAATAATTTTGCATTTCAATGAAATATTTTCCAAGATGTTTGTTTTAATTAACTCAAAATTTCGAAATAGTTCAATACCAAGTTCGATATGTCCTTTTAATAATTAAGTTTGAAAGAAATAAATTCTCTCGCCAGCAGTTAAATATAAAAATTGAAAAAATGTCATAGTACTGCTACTGCACCATATTTTTGAAGACCTACTTACGTTAAGTTTCTCATGTTTTATGGAGAGGTTTTATCACTTCGTCATCACATCACAACGTTTTCTCACCATCTCACGATCGAATCATATAATCAAATTCAATTGATTTTACTTCAAATTAAATTTCAACAAAAACTTTTTATATTCATAATTCATATTTTCAATCTTTTCATACCTCGCATGTTATTATATTACATTCTCCGCGTTTGGCAGAGTTGAATTAAAAACAGCATTGAACTCCAACCATTATATATATACAGCCTCATTCTACCATCCTATCGTCACATCCCATCTCATCCTTATCACATCACCATCATCACATCAACTAGCTCACCTTCTCACCAGGCCTTATGTGAATGTTGACGTTACGAGCCACGGCCAGGTCAAGGCCGCTGTACTTGATGGTCACGTTGAAAAATATCAGATCCCCTTCCCTCGGCCAGTCGTCTGATATCGTTGGCGGTTCGTCTTCTTCATCTGAATCTTTCATCGTCATCATCATCATCATCGTTGTCGTCATCATCGTCATCCTCACCATCATCGTCATCATCACCATCGTTATCATTATTATGATATGAACTTGTATGTCGTGTTAACGCGCAGTTTTTTCTCAACGTAATCAGCAGATGGAAAAAAATTTTTCTTATCAGAAAAAATTTTTCATAAAAATCATCATTTACAACACGAATGGCCATCAAATGGCCGGCGAAAAACTACAAAAAATGACCTTTGATGGCGATCTTCTTGTCATTTTCCGACGGTAGGTGACAGTACTCGTGGATCCTCTGGATGGCAGCCACTTGGATGTCAGCGTCTGCAATGCATCTAACCATCCAATTCACGTAATTGCACGTCTACATGATGACGTACATGAATAGAAGGAATGAACGCTTGAACGAATGAGTGAATGACTGCGTGAATGAATGAATGAATGAATTAATTAATTAATTAATGAAGGAATGAAGGAAGGAAGGAAGGAAGGAAAGTAGAAAGAAATAAACAAGCAATTAAATAAATGAGCAAGCGAACAAACAAAAACCAAACGAGCAAACTACAAACCAGCAGGGCGTAAGTGACCCCAAGACCCACGTAACTCGATGAGACGCCGATTGAGATGTGCACCATACATGACATCATCACCATCAACGAAGCCAAAAACTCCTATTCATCGTGCGCCCGCCAGTTACGTTTGAATTAATTATGATAATTTCAACGTCGAATGTTCATTTCAGAGAAGTTATTTGAGCATAGTTGGAAAATTTTAAATCGAAAAATGGAAAGAATAAAAAATATTTTTGGTTTCATATTTTAGAGATCCTAATATCCGTTGACTTGTAATTTATCTGTTTCATGTCGTTACGCAAATTTTTGTGAACGACTACGCGAGAACTGCTCGAGCCTTCAACAACCTGCATGCATCATACTCCACATGACAGGTTTCATATTTTCATATCTCTCTCTCTCTTTCTTGTCACTTTCCTCTTTCTCTCTCCTCCCTCTCCACATCAGTTCCCTCTTGATACGTGTCCAACGGGTGTTTTCATGTTTTTTAATGAAGTTATATGAATGACTTGTTGACCTCAGATGAACTTAAATGAATGATTGATAAATAAGTGGTTAAAAATTTTTTCTGCAGAATCTCCGCGGTGTGATTTCCATTTTGTCTAATTACTTATTAACGCTCCTGCTCCGCTAGTTAAAACAACATGCTTGACGTTAGCACGCAATGTATTTTTTTTATTTTGCAATGTAATTACAATAAATTTTCTAATCGGAAAAGATTCTCAAAATGCATAATTTTCGGATGAATGGAAAACAGAATTTAATTTGCTAAAAATAAACAAAAACCATGAAACGAACCAATCTGATGCCAGCCCAGCGACATGCAGTGCTGAGCCAGAGATGTGTGGAGTTGTTGTCGTTCACGAGTTTCTCCATCAGGTCCCAAAACTTTCGTTCGTATTTGAATGCTCGAATGGTCCTCAAACCTGACAGTGTTTCTGAGCAGTGCGTCATGAATGGAGCACTCGTCAGACTGTCCAACTTGTGGAGTTCCCTGCTCGCAGTGGTCCGGTGAAATCAATGCACACATCATCAAAAAAATCGGTTTGCATTATTTTTATTTCATTTAATTATGTTATCATTTTCCAAAACCTGAAAATGATTTAAAATGGAAATACCACATGGTCCACATTCTCAGGGTGTTCCATGTTGCTAACTGACACCACGCCAACGTGCTCAACAAACAAGCCAGCAACCAACCAAACTGACCAACCTGTAAGCCAGTCTGAAACGATATTGATAGATGGTAAAGACGAGCAATATGATGGCACCTGGCACGAGGAAGTACAAGCTGACGTAACTGTTGATGACCACACAGGCAGCCAACACGAACAGTGTCCTCATCAGCTGCTCCAACGTTGTCACTAGCTTCTGAAAGAGAAGAAATAAAACATTCAGTCAGAATGTGAACATGATAATTAATTAATGTAAAATAGTATGTGATATTGAGGTTCTTAATTAGCAAACGTAGAAACACAACATTTCTATGAAAGCTTAAAATACCGAACAAAATTTCCTTTCGTTATCACGCTAAAACCAAAATAAATTGCACTACGAATTGAAACTATAAATTTGGTGGCAACGCTTAACCCGTGTCAAGCAACGCTTCGTGAAATGAAAATAATGTCATATGGTGTGAGCATGCATGCGAAAAAAAACTGACGAACATCATCGATGACGGAGATGTCCCCAGAGAACCTGCTCATGATCTTTGAAATGGGATTAGAATCGAAGAATCTGGGAAGAAGGTTTATGTTAGTTTTTATTCACCAAAAAATAAATAACTGTATTCAACAAAAAATATCACATTTTAGAAAAAATTATCTAGATATCATATTATTAATCCTTTATATAAATGTTGTACAATTGTAGCAAAACAATCCAAGCAACTTCAAACCGATTTTCAAAATTTGTTGAAAACTTTTAAATGTCATTGAGTATGAACCAAAGTTAAAAACTGGTAGCTAACCTCATGGGAGCTTCAACCACTCTGTCGAGCATTTTGAAGTACATGAGGCAGCTGGCTCGGATGCTAGCGACTTCGGTCAAGATGGAAACAATGAGTGAGAGTAGAACTGCAACCAAGCATAGCAGGACGTACGTGTTTGCGAAGTGTATGTACGGACTGTCGAACAGATGTGCTCTCTAGCAAATTTGAATTTGCATAATTCATGTTTGAAAATTAATAGACTCTGCAACAGTTGGATGGGAAATTTTGTTTGGATATAAAAAATGAAACAAGTATTCAATGGCATACCGCTGTCAAGTTTGATTTCTCAAGATGAAACAGTTGTCTACTTTTTTCAGAACCAACGGGTTTATTAAAAATTTCATCAGCAGTATCATTGTCAGGATTGCCATCGTGCGCATCTCTAGTGCTGTCAGTTCGTTGCGATCGATGAACATCGTCATCAAGTGGATAGACAAAGACTCTCTTCCTTCCTCCCTTCCATCCACTCACATTATTTTGGAAATCTTTCTCCACCAACATCAGCGTATCGGATACATTTTGTGACCATTGTGCCAGCCACCAATCGGTCGACATGACGAAGAAGACCCTGGCCAGATGCCCGGCAAGCAGGACAATGACAAGAGGTAGGCAGGCGGCCCTCGCATATTGTAACAACGCTGCGAACGATATTCGAACGGGAGGGAAAAGACCAACAATGCTCATCTTTGGTCCTCGCTTGGCTCCACTCACTGTTCTGTTGTTGAGGTCGTCGAGGAGAAGTTGCTGCTGCTGCTGCTGTCGCTTCTTCCGCAGCATCATCGTTTCTAAACGTGACGTGGTTAGGAAGCAGCATAAAACAAAAACAAAACTTTAACATAACAGTTATTTATCATTTACAGTTGTTTTACTGTTGATATGTAGAATCAACTTTTATTAAACTTTCCAGTTATTTTCAAATTCTTAGAATGAAGACATTGTTCGAGCAAGCCACTATCAAATACTTTTCATCAATTTCTAACCATTGCCAAAAATTTTTTTCTCTTTATAAGTTCAATCGCTATTAATTATTCTCATTTCCTTCGACATCATTATCACCAGCATCATCATCGTCGTCGTCTTCATTATCTTTTCTCTCACCACAACATATACACAGAAGAACAAACTTGATTCCTTCTTGTTCCTGCTACCTCCTTCCATGGCCCCCTGGTCGAGATTCATGACGTCATCGTTGTCCAGGCCATCCCCTACTTTCTTGCTGGTCACCTGCACGTCCTCCATGCCCGGATGCTCTTCCTCGATGGTTATGTGGGTGGTTTGCCCTGATCGCGTTGAGGTTGCTTATCAATGTTATACTACTACCACCCTACTACCACTACCCCTACTACTACCACCACTACCACTACTACCTACTACAATAGCTACTACTACTACCACTACTACTACTACCACCACCACCACTACTACCTTCTACTATAGCTACTACTACTACCACTACTACTACTACCACCACCACCACTATCACCACCACCACTACTACTACTACTAAGTCGTCATCATTATCGTCATCAGTTGCTCTATTAAAGATATCATTGTAATATTATCGATTTAATAGAAGATTAATTGAAATAATGAGAATGGACTCCAATTAATATTGATAGCAATGACGCTTTAAAAATGTTTAATTTTTTCATAGGTCACAAATCTTATTTTGCAGTATAGTTTATTTGGCTGGGAATAGAAAAATGAAGAGATCCAAATGAAGTTGCAGTAGGTAGAAATTGCATTGTTGTTATTATAAATCAAAATACTGACCACGTAATATTTTCTAAGCAACAGAAATTGCAAAATCTATAAAATTCTATAAAATGCGATTACCTAAGACTAGTTATTTTGAATAAAATGAGAATAGTCAGTTTAAAATGAGAATCATTAGTCTAAAGTGAGATTGGTTAGTTTAAATGTAACTGGTTGGAATGGAACGGACCTGATATGAAAACCCTCTTCGGACTGTTGTCCTTCCTATCTCCGCCTAGCAGCGACTTGAAAAAAATGTTTCACATTCAATTAGGTTCATCACACTCGCCGTGAACGAAACTTTAAATAATTCAACTACATCCTATTTCTATTGCATCATTTTCATCGTTGTCGTCAAAAAACACGTCATCATTATTAAATCCTCATCAGATACTAGCCACAATTGGAGGATCATTATGACGTCATCACATCGTCATATAAACATCATCACATGATCGCCATGACGTCATCATCACATGATCGCCATGACGTCATCATCACATGATCGCCATGACATCACATTCACATCACCATACAATCATAACAAAATCTCCATCATGACGTCATCGTATAATCATAACAAAATCTCAGCCACAAATGTTTACTCAACAAACAGTAACAAAATTGCTACACTATAATGCGTTGCAGTGCATAGCAACAACACAATAGCGTAACTTAATCAGTAAAAATAAGAAGACTCTGGTGTATTATTTTACGTTGTGTTGGTGTTTGTAATGAAACTCATGTGAGTTTCATGAGACTGAAAATTTTAAAACATGTAAACTGATTCTAAACTGATAGGTCTGGAAGAAATGGGTTAAGAATTAAAACATTTGCAAGTTTTTAAATTATTCTAAAAAATCTAAGACCTTTAGGTAAAAAAAACTTTATTAGCCACAAAACAACGGAAATCGACATCAACAAACTCACCAACAACAACATCAACAACACTAACAACAACAACAACAGATACAACAGATACAACATCAACAAAACTGACAACAACAACAGCAGATACAACATCAACAACATTAACAACAAAAACATCAACTACATCCCCACAAAACAAATCGCAACGACAAAACGCAACCGAACCTTGCTGAAGTCCCTTTTATATTCAAGTGTCCGGATCTTCCTCATCAGGACGAGTCGTTCCGTGTTTGTCGTGTCCTCTCTCTCCGCTCTCAATATGTTCTCTCTCCTTTTTCATTTATACGTAATATACGTGTGTGTGTGTTTGTGTGTGTGTGTTCGTGTTTGTATGTGTGTGTGTGTGCGTGTGTGTGTGTCCGTGTTTAGAGTTTTCGCAGACTGACCTAGCCTTCCTCAGTCCTTCTTGCCACAGGGCAAACAACTGCGGATTCTTCTCCTTCACATCCTGCATGAATTCAGCCTCTCATCACGCAACCATAAAAAAAAGTATCTGATCGGCGTATCATCGTGTCATCATCAAAGCTATCGCTATGTATCATATCAAGTTTTATCATTACATTATCACATCATCACGGCCATCGTATTACACTCTAAATACGCTAGGCTGGTTTGCTGCATTCTAATGGTTAAACGCTGAACATTATTATAAATAATTCGTTCGCTCTTGTAGCATTTCACATCAGAATTTTTGTAACCAGCAAGCAACGTCTACTTTACCATCACAATTAGTGACGTTGTAATTATTAATGACGTCATTATCTTCTTCATCATCATCAACACCATCAACATCGTAAAGTTTATCATCAACATCATCATCATTATTGTTATTATTATTATCATTATTGTTATTCCTTATTTCATTATCCACCATCCTCATCATCAACAATATCATCATCTTCATCATCACCACCACCATCATCATCATCCTCATCACCCTCACCATCATCATCACTAACTGTTAATTTCCCATGTGATTCCACTCTACCATTGCCGACTTGGTAAATCTTCGATCCGAAAATGAATTTGGATGAATAAATTTTAATTGATGACGTGTAAATAATTCACTGGGTGGTACCCACACGTACACACATGCACGCATGATGACGTCATTTTTCGTTAGTTGTTTGAAAAAGTATTGAAATAAGCATCATCATCCTCTCTCTCTCTCTCTCTCTTTCTCTCTCTCTCTCTCTCTATATATATATATATATATATATATATATTCATTATCAATAAATAAATATTATATATTATATACCATCGGCATAATCATCGTCGTCGTCATCATCATCATTTTGCATCATCTTCATTATCCTCCTCATCATCATCATTATAATCATAATAATAATCATCATCATCATTGTTTTACACCATCATCATCCTCATTATCATCCTCATCGTTTTACATCATCATCATCCTCATCATCTTCCTCATCATCATCCTCATCATCATCCTCATCATCATCCTCATCATCTTCCTCATCATCATCCTCATCATCATCCTCATCATCTTCCTCATCATCATCCTCATCATCATCCTCATCATCATCCTCATCATCATCCTCATCATCATCATCATCATGGGACACTGACGGCATGAGCGAATGGCAAGAAATGAAGTTCGTGAGTGACCAGGATGACGGTGCGTTTGCGCTTGACCATGCAGAAGTGGAGGATTCCATCCTCGAAGATGTGCGAGGCTGTCGGTAGGTCCAGGGCCGAGAATGGGTCATCCTGATGATGATGATGATGGCGTAAAATGATGATGTAAAATGGTGACAATGAGGATGATGGTGATGAAGAGAATGATGAGAAACAGGCTGATGATGACGTTGATGACAGTGACATCGATGTCAACAACACACTACATTCCTCCCGAACAACAAAATATATCTTCGCTAATAAACTTGTTGCATTATTTTTTTTATTTCCATTCTTTCCAGTAGTTATAAAACGACAAATTAAATTTTAAAAGTTTGTCCAGACACGCTGATACATATTTTCATTTTTTAAATACAAATTGTGTCCTGAATATATCTGATGCGGCGTTCCTGATAATTGATACCTTATGAAATTTTGTTAACTAAGAACAGTGAAAATTCAATAACCAGAACGACAAGATCGGCTTTGGAGTAGATGGCCCTGGCTATGCTCACCCTCAACTTCTGTCCCTGACTCAAACTTATGCCCTGGTCGGTCGTATGGTGGGTGGGTTCATTTTATAGGGTCATTTAGTTAAGTGGCTGTTGTTTTTAATTTTACAAAAAGGTAAAATTGTTTTATATCAGTGGTGTTTAGTTAATTTTTATGGAGAAAATAAATTCTGATATCAGCAATAACAACTTTATCGCCAATTTCGGTGAGATCTTTGTCAGGGAGAATGTCAATGTCTTGTTGCAGTGCGCAGGCCTTCAAAACTCTCCTGTACCTAGTAGTTCACGTTACAAACCTTTCTGTGGCCATTGCCAATTTGTTCACATCAACCAACAACATTGAACGTTCAATCGATCATTAATGTAACGGTACATTCATTCATCCATCCATCCAACCAGTCAACTAGCCAGCCAGCCAATCAACTAGCCAACCACCAAACAAACCTTTTCTTCTCCATGGCAGTTCCAAAGAGAATGTTTTCTTGAACTGAGGCATTCATCAGCCAAGGAACTCCGCCAGCATAACACGTTGTTAACGATCTAAAAATATCCATCAGCTTGCAATTAAGACATATTTTTTAATCTTTTTTTATTTATAAGTAAAAAAAATAGTTAGCAAAGCTATGGGTGAATGGTTGCAATCCAACGCACGGTTTCCAGTTGACGGTCCCTTCAATTCGATTCATCTCTCCCAGCATGGCCGATATCAACGAACTTTTCCCAGATCCGGCACTGCCTATTATCACCGTCAGTTTGCCTTCATCAATGAATTGTTGCTTTCATTTCAACCGCGTTAACTTTTATACGAATCATGAACCATTAATTACACACTAAAAGATATATAATGATTTAAAAATTTTCCAAATTTATCAGGATAAAAAAGCATTTGGCATTTAATGAAGTTTTATAAATGTGATTCTAATTTCAACATTAGCAGCTGCTTAAATAATAATATTCCATATTTAGCACGAACGTGGTGAGCATGATTAGCGGGTAGTTAAGATTGGATAGCTAACAAACCGGCATCAGCCTTGAACTTGACATTGGTGAAAAAGGCCTCATTGGATGCAGGTTCCCACGCATACGATCCCTCGTGTATGGTCACTGCCACACCCACGTCTCTCTTCGAGTCCACTGAATCGTCATCATCCAAGCCAGAACCAAAACTGGTGTGCATATCGTATCAGTATTCGTTACATTACATTCAGTAATCATTACATCTCACGAGACATCTCCTTAAATAACTGGCTAGTTGTATAGAAAAACGAAACAGAAGGTAGATAAATAAATGAAGAACATGGAAGAATACAAAACAGAAAAAAGTTGAAATAAACTAACATAAATATTAACGACCAATAAATAAACGTACGAACAAACGAACGAACGAACGAACAACTGACGACTGGTGAACGAACCTGTTTGAAGCACTGAGAACGCTCCTCTTATCACACATCATCATCATGGCCGTCATGTCTTGCTGGGAAGCACGTCGACTATGAGAAGACCTGTGGTCAGTTAATCAACCATCGTCAGCCTCTCACATCAAACTTTGTTTTAAACAAATATTTGAATAGTAGTCTAATAAGGTAAAGTAAACTAAATGAATTATAATAATGAAAATACATTGCTGAGACACTTAATGATGCCAGAGATTGAAAGATTGAGCGTGAATAAACCTGAAGCCCTGTTTGGCATGTATGTCCATCTCCGCTCCTACCGAAGGAACCGCTAGCATACGAGCTTTCTTGGCGTTGTACAACGTTCCTTTCGTACATACAACAACTTCGGCATTTTCGCTTTCGTTTTCTTCTGGAATTTGTTCTGTGATGAGATTGTTTCCCGGTAAGTGACTTTCGGCTTCATTGCTGTTTGTTCTGGTGACATTTTTTGGAGGCGATATTTTATCTTTGTTTGACTTTCCACTGTGCTTTTTTATTTTTTTATTTTTTTTCATTTTGTTGGATTTCCCCGTCGTAATTGAATTCTTTTTCGCTCTTTGTTTCACTTTCGCGTGATGGCTGGGAGAGTGAGGAAGCTGTTTGTGGTCACCCTATATTAACATTTAGTTATAAAAAAATAATTTTTAATAACATTGAAACACTATAGTTTATATGTGTATGTATGTATGTATGTTTGTGTGCGTGCGTGCGTGTGTGTGTGTGAGCACGTATGTGTGTATATGATTCAAAGAGTATAAATAGAAGAAGAGTAACAGCAGCAGGAATGCCAGATAATCTCAAAGTGACTACTACCACCTCACCTCACTGATGACGTTCAGTTCATCACTCAGCAGTCTGGCGTTTTCTGTCCTTCGTGATTCTGCACTCAAGTGCTTCATTTGGATTTCCTCCTTGTTGTTATTTGAATTGGACTTTGAACTTTCATCTTTGCAGGAGCTGTCGTTGTGCGTGTTGCTCGAACGCTTCTGCTGCTTCAGGTAGTCGCCGACTGTCTCGTCCTCGCCATCGCCGATTGTCATTTTCACTTTTTGTTTGTGTTTGTGGTCTCCATCATTGTCGTCGGCTTCGTTGTCATCAGCGTAGTGTGAAGAAGGAGGAGTGGCATCATCATTGCCGCCAGTCACCTCCTCATCTTCCACCATGTTGCTCTTCATTCCGATCTGCTTGCAATTCTCGTGGAAGCTGTTCTCTTTTTGGAAGTTCGTCTGCATTAATTTTAAAATAGAATTAGAACTACTAATGGAGCAACAAAAAACTGCAGCACCATCGGTCACATTAAAAACTTCGCCGCTGTTAATCCATGTTTAATTTGTTGTACTTACAATCAAAATTGCATCCAAAACAGCATCATAAATGTTTAAACGCAAACTTATCCAAACATACAAACTGACTTTTACACCCAAACAACGTGCAAAAATCAGCCAGTCAGCCAGCCAATCCTTCCACACCAACCTTATGTCGCTTGCTGTCAATTTCGAAACTCGTGAGAAACTCGGCGATTTTTGTGATGGAATCATAGGCGTCCCCAAGAAATCCGGTAAATATTGGAGCGAGGTGAATGGGAGTAGAAAGAATGTCAAACAACAAGATAGATGGGAATATTTTTTGAGGGGTCAGAGGCTGCTCACCAATGTACGGATGGATGGTGAAAGCCTGCAAATTTTGATGACAGCGTAATAAATAGGGCCTCATATTTTCACTAACCATTGGTGGTTTACAACATTACAACATAGTACGCTTTTACATTGTAATAATAAACGCTGTTAAAAATAAGACCAAACTGGCGAGATGTTAAAATTTATGTCAAAATATAACTTAAAAACGTGAAGGAAAACAACTAACAAACATCATGACCATGAGGAAACCAGCCTCCGATATGAAATCTGTTGCAACAATCATATTTAAAATGAATGTTCATGAAACTAATCTTAACAAAATGAAAAGGAAACACAATTTCAATGTTTTAATCAATAAATTAAAATTATTTAAATAAAAAATTATGAATATTTCAATAAATAACTTGAAAAAACTTGGTAACAAACTAAACGTCAACCACCCATTTTCCCATCAGCATCTTATCATCCTATCATTATTAACATCATCAACTGCCTCACCAACATTACCACGAACAGCAACCACTAGCCACAGCAACCACCAGCCGCCACAACCACCAGCAGCTACAAACTCATGAGAGCCTTGATGAAGCAGGTTTTCAGCATGGCCTTCAACTGTTTCATTCTCGCCTCCCTCACCTGTCCAGCTGCCACCCTCTCCCAGGCGTACAACTTCAGGCATTTTATATTCTTCAAGACCTCAGTACACTTTCGCACTCGACTGTTCGCCAATTTCTTCGGTGTTAAATAATTTTTCATGAATATGAATTTAATAAAAATTAATTTTATATTTAAAATAAAACTTTATATCTAAAATAAAACTATTTAAAAAAATATCTCAAGTTTTTACTTGCTGACACCTGTAATAACATTGTAGTAACATTACAGTAACATTGCAGAAACCATGCAGTAACACTGCAGTAACATTGCAGTAACATTGCAGTAACATTGCAGTAACATTGCAGTAACATTGCAGTAGCATTGCAGTAGCATTGAGTTGGCGAGTTAGCTCAGACAGACTGCTTTGAATTATTTCATCATTGCAAACTCATAAATTACCACACGACTCATGCACTCGATGCATAGGTGCAACTAACAAACCGTGTATATACAACTGTTTGTACGTACAAGCCTGCATTACGAATGAGCATGTACGAATGTATACCGGGGCAACAGATCAGTTTCAACTAAGTAGGCATAAAATGATGTGTATACAACTTTGTATATTTCAGAAAAAAATGCATTAAAAGCAGGCTGATATTTTTTTAAATAGTTTTATTTTAGACCTCAATTTTCAAGCACTAGACAGTAGTCTTATTTTTAATTAATTTATCAACCATTATTATTGCACAGACACCTAAAACAGAAAATTATCAATCGCTCCGTATCGAACAAATAAGTTAAATATCAGTTAATCAGGGTTAATTAATACCAACCAGCGTGAATTTCTGTGAAGCAAAGAGTTGTCTGGCGAGTATGCACTGCAGACAGGTCAGAAAGAGGACTGCTAAGAAGCCAGCCATGGCACTCAGCCCAACTCTGTAGTACAAGAGTATGAGGGAGGCGAGGGTCTGCGAGAGATGCAATGGAAGTTGTTGATACGATCATTTGAATCATGGAATGATCCAAAATAATTATATTATGTCGTTTAATGGTTGTAATGTGTAACATGTTCGCGTACAACTTTATGATGCAGTTCAAACATACAACAGATGATTATGATGCAAATAATAATTTAGGCACGGATGACTTAATGAAATGAGACATCAACATGCAAATCCCCAAAGATGCATAAGGCTTTCTATCTCATTGTAACATCTGCCTCTCATAAACTCCCAACACGTAGGCCTATGCTGGACATTCATACAAATGAATACTTCCCACATAACAGACGTCCGTGCAACATCATTCTTCTTACATAATACTCCACGACGTTAAATGAACATCTAAAGAAAAATTTCTTGCGCAAAAAATGTTTATTCAAATGGGAAAGTGTACGTGTGTCCAAGCATAACGCATGGAAACTCGACGTTACATGCACATATATGCCATATACAAATGCATATATATATATATGGTCCCATGTATATTTAAGCTTTGAACCACAAGTAATCTATATTGTACATGAATGTATTTCTGCATGTTGGCTTCTTGTACGCGCTGAAACGTCTGTCTGTACAATCTTTTATTTCCAACACTATGCAAAACATTAGCCGATAAAAATCTATATTTTAATGTATGTTTGCTGGGTGGATATTTTTAGCTTCTGAATGGATGTGAGTTTGTTTCTGGGCGTATTTGAAAATGTTGATCATTTTAAACTGTAATCTGGCGTTGTTGAAGATAAGGATTTTTTTTTCAGTTTAAGTTTGTATTGCATGTTGCAACGGCCATTTCAGTTTGAGTTTGTCTTAGAGTTGCGGCTTCTATTAAATTTTACTATTCAAGTTTGAATTTTTATTTCAAGTTTCAGCTTTGAAATTTATGAGCGCTCAGTTTTCAAACAAATTATAGCAAAACACTTTCTATAACAACCAATTTAAAGAACAAATTGTCGAATGCTGTCACACGCTGTAAATTTTGTTTTAGAAACAAACGGTTCTCCAGCTTGCTGCTATATTACTGCTACATATTTAAATCAATCATTCAACAAAAGCTTGCAAAGGTGGCAAGTCAGGTAAATTTGAAGCAATACTAGGAAAAAGTGGCATGTCTGTCTTCTTGCTCCATGCTACAATTGAATCATCATCTTCTGGCAATAATTATCTATTAATTTTAATTGTTTATCTGTATTTAATCAAAAGTTTTGACATCATTTGTGTTTGCATTTCAGTTATTTCATCTTTTCAAATGTGTTTTTAACTGATGTTTCAGTTTCATCAGAGTTAAGTCCAAGAAAAGTTTTTACGAGTTTGCTTCGTTCATTTCTTAAACTTTGCTTAAATTTGTTTGCAAAAAATGCATCGTAATGAATTAGTTGTTATTTCTATATACATGCGCAACAATAAAATGGTACTACCATACAACCTAATGAGATTAAAGACCACACACACGCACGAACGTACGCGTAAAAAATAAACAATGGAAAAATTTTCGTCAGATTTAGTTTCGAAAATATTCTAATAAAAATATTAAGCTGTTTCTCTTACCAAGAAGCATGTGATACAAATTTTAAAGTTTTTAAATATAGAAGAGCCCAACACACACAGATGATCAAATCGTCTAACATGTTTAAGTGGGTACGCATAAATTCAAGATTGGAAAAAATGGAGACACATTTTAGAAGTCCCAGTTAGCATGCACCATTCTACAAAAGAAATGTTGAAACAGGATTGTAAGTATTGAAAATAACTGCTACAGCGGTAGATGAATGAAAAACCTTCAATCAATTTAATCAGTTGTTGTTGAAAGCAATGAAAGAGCAGGTACAGAGCAATATGTACACAATGCCCACAATATGCACACGAAAATATGTGTACACAACAATGAGTAAACAAAGTGCACACAAAAATGTGTACAGAATGGAGCCAGGCAACTTTGGATTCATTTGAAACAAACGCCGAACATCGGCACGTTTACGTGTGTGCGTGTAAATAATACGGATACGAGTAAATATTTTTGAGCATCTCTGATTCTTTGTTTGCGCAATGATGCTACATGAAAAGTTTAAAAATCAATGAATATACAGACTTTGTATCTATGTTTTATACTATACATTTAAATAATACATATACATAATTCGAATGAACGCCTCCGAATGTGAGAACAATAAAACCATGCTAATTTTTGCTTGCATAGAAATGAAGGCCAAGCAATGAAGAAATAATGATAGAAAGAAGAGCAAAAAATTAACCATTGCACGAAAATATAATTTTCTTTTATGTGACATTGAGATGTATTGACGACACACGAACAACGCGTAAAACCAGGCAGGACGCATCATTCACGCAGCGTATGATGACCTGAGATCACCTCATGCAATCGGACGCAATGACCACCACAGAGCAAAACAATGGCGTCTTTGACCATCAGGCGTGACGCCGCCCACAGAACTCAAATCGAAACTTCTGTTAGTAACAATTTAAATATAACTAATTCATTAAACTATAATAATCATTCAGAATTTAAATTTTAATAAATCAAGAGTTGTCACTTTAACAAATAATTTTTATTTTAATCACAAGATGTTAACTTTAAGTAGTTAACAAGTAGTTAGAGATGTAAAGATTTTGAACAATTTCAATGTTTTTATGAGTAACTACAATCGGCTGTTGGCAACAAAAGCACTTTCCTAATCATTGATAGGAAGGATTATTCGAAGGTCTGAGTGTTTTGGCCGTATTTACATATTATATATAGATATATAGATCACACACAAACACACATACGTACATACACACACACAATCAAACAATTTGTGGCAAACCATATTTGATCTGATGAGTGCGATAACATTTTACGGCAGCAAATGAAAATTATTAATGATTTATGAACACGCGTATATGCTAACAAACGTATTTTCATGCAAACGCACGTTGTACGTCCTATGAAGTGCCTCTAAAATTTGAAGTTTATTCGATTGGATCTCACCTTGAAATCTCATTAAATATCAAATTCCATGTCAAAACAAACATAAAGCAGTTTTATATTTTCAAATAAATAAATTGTGTTAAATGAAATGGAATTTGGACATAATGAATGTTAGACGGGTTGAAGATTCTAGTAAGTTAAAATGAATTTGAACGAATAAGAAGACGCTAAAGGAATTGATTGATAGGTTATTTTAACTTATCCGAGATTACTAAAAAGAAAGATGGTAGCGTAGCGAGGGGGCAATCTTGGCCAGTTGCCCGCGTGCCATTCTCAGGTACATCTCTAAGAAAATATTTTCTATCAAAAACTATTTTGAACAACAACTAAAACAAAAATATATCAAAAAGCAAGCATATAGTGGCTCCTGAAAAGGTCAGGTGATATGATGCAAATTTTGTGGAATCATCCAAAGTAAAAGAGTTTACATCATGAAAAGAGTTTACAGAGGTGATCAGATGTTTGTGGGAGATGAATGATGATGGTGGTGATAACGTTGAATACGATGTGATTGACGAATGAGGAGCGTAAAACGTATTGATCAAATGATTCATTGCATTGATAGTGCAGATTTATTGATAACGACGCTGTGTGATAATGCTTACGACAGCTAAATGTTTTTTTTTTAATTTTTAAAAGTTTCAACAGTTACTCAAATAACTATTAAAACCGACCAACATAACTATCATTAATGGAAATGGAAAATGGAAAAATAAGTGGAAAAATAAGTCACATAAATGGAAAAATAAGTCACATGTTAAAAAAAATCTTCACTTATAAACAACACAAAATACGACCGTAGCAACAATAATTTAACAACAACAACACCATCAACAACAACAACACCAAACAAACCTTAAGGGGTAGCAGCCAAATGAAATGAATAACACAAAAGCAGAAGAGGATGTTGTTTGCATCTGAGGACATGTGATCAACAACCTCACCTAAACTCAATGTCTTCGTGGCAAAGTTCCACAACGACAACACCAACATCTTGCCGTACATGACCATCTGAATTCAGTTTGTTTGTCTATCTGTTCGTCTGTCTGTAGGTCTGTCAGTCAGTCAGTTTGTCTGTCTGTTTAGTTTGTTTGTCTGCTTGAATGTCTGTTTGTATTTTTGTTTGTTTATTTGTTCGTTCGTTCATTTGTCATTTAAAGTGTTGTTCCCTGCTTTCACAGCTTTGAACTTACGATGGTAATGAAAAAATAGTTATGGCGAATTTTGTCAGTTTGAACGTACAGTGAAATATTCATTCGTAAATTTTTAGCTTTCAACAACAAGAATTTATTAACAATTGAATACTTATAAAAGCTTATAATAAAAATCAGATGTTTATAAATAGTAATAAGAACGCTTGGAAACAAACTAACGCCTCGAAGATTTCTAACACTCAGCAAGCCTCTAATCAAACATTTAAACAAATTGTTTCAAAAATAAACGAATAGAATTTATAGATAATAGAGTTATTTCCAATTAAAATATCTTGTAATTTATTTTAAGTGTTTTCAAAAGTTTGCAGATTCACTTTTTGAATATTTCTAAATAATTGTCCGACAACAAATGATTGTCATGATACGTTCACTATTGCTCTTATTTATCGTAGTGTTTTTAACGGTTTTTGTAATTTAAAAAATTGTCGGTGTGTTAATTTTTTAAAGTTTAAAAACCATGCTTATAACTGCAATCGGTTCACATCATCGTTCTAACAGAAAACAATCCAACTAAGCGTCTAAACGGAAAATGTGTACAATCAAAACAGAGTACTCTAGAATTTCAGTGATCATTAAGAAATGGAAGAAAATAGCGAAAATAATGTGTACCCATGATCTACGCAACCAACCTGCAGAGCCCCTCTGATGCGAACCCCTTCCCTGGTCACCAGGTAGTGGCCGGCCTGCGTGAATACGCTGGTCAGCAAGCAACACAACAACATTATGATCGAGACTACGTATCCATTCGTGAAGAACTCGTAAGCTCCAACCATTCGCCCTTGCTGAAAAATTTGATGGCTGTTGATTGGTTGCAAGCCAGTAATTGTTGACTGTTAGCAAGTTGATCATTTTTAGTCGGTTGCAAAAATAAAGCAGATTAGTGATCAAAAATGAACATTGCTATTAAATACAAGTGTTTTTGTAGAAATTATTTGACATGCCTTAGTGATGTTCATCTTCACTTCACTTGAGTTTATAAACACAGCAAACAAAATGCGAACCAACGGCAGAAAAAAATTTTAGAAATTTCTTTCTAGATCATATAATCAAAAATGTCAGCGACGGCATCAAAAGACTAACAACATTAGCATCAACATTAACATTAGCTGCCACGATGGTTTGACGAGCGAGAAATGTTATCTAACAAAAGTTACAAACCTTAGGAAGCATGGTGGAGTTGACGGGCTGTGCGTTGGTCGAGTTATCAACATAATCAAGTAGGAGGACGAGCAAAATGGGTGTGCAGAGATGGAGGGCCGCTCCAACCAGCAGGAACATGCCGGCCAGGACCATGGGAGATTGCGACTTGATCCAACAGGATTTACACAAAGAAGTGTTTACTTCTTCGTTCATCTTCTGGTGGTCCTTCACAACAAAGCATGTTTTATAAAATTCATCTTAAAATTGTAAAAGATATTTATATATAGCTGATGGAAAGGGCTACAGTAGGCATATTAGCTAGGACGATAACGTTGTTGTTGGGCGGTTCCCTGATTCAAATGTCGTTTGTGAAAAATTTTTTCACTTATTTTCACCACAAAGATCAATGTTTAAGTATATGATGATTTCTCAAATTCAATTAACTTGTTGATTTTTCAATATTCAAACAGAAGAGAAGTGTTTAAATCACGTCCGTGACTATGTCAATTCAGTATTCTAGAGTGTAATCAAAAGATGCACAAAATAAAACAAAAATTCACATTCCATCTTGCGAACAGTGTCTAGATAAGGTGTCAAAATGCACGATGGCATTTGGAATATATAATTCAAGCTACAACGAGAAGCGCCAATAAAAATTAGATGTTTGGAATGGAAACAACAAAAGTGAATGCGTGTGAGTGTATTTGTGAGTTTATGAAGGAATGAATAAACATACGAAATAACAAAAGAATAAATGAATGAATGAGTGAATGAATAAAACAAAAAATGCGCAAATGAATGAATGAAATAGAAACTTACCCTCTCTTCCTCAATCGCCGATAATAACAGACCATAGTTGTAAGCCGATTTTTCACTCTGTCATAAATTTGTATCATTGAACTGTTTATTTACTTCAAAATTTTAACTAGAATCAAACGCTTGAAAACACAACAACGGCAAGACAAAATAAAATTTTAATTAAAAAAATCACATACTCTAGGCAGTGATCCTAAGTCTTTGAGATCGAGTGGAGTCTTGACAGCCTGATTGACGATGCCACGAATCCAGAAGTAGGTTGCTTTCGATGGCAAGCTGACGGCACTCTGCACGTAGTTCGTGTCAGCCAGGTACTCTGGGGGCTTCAGCATTCGACGTTTCTTGAAGAAGGCGTAACGCTGGTGGAAAAAGTTTCATTTTAATCTACTGCTGATGTGTTATAAGTTTTGCATCAGACCTGTTTTCTCAATCTGATCCGTTACTTTACTTACTTAATTCAATACGTTTAAATAACTCTTACTTTTATTTGCTATTTTACCCGGTTTTTTTATTTTTAATATTTTGCCTATTTTCAATTAATTTTATTAACTAATATGATCAACCGGAAAATCTTTTTACGATTCATCACCGACAAAAAGTTTGACAGCCGCCGTTTCAATATGAAAAATATTTGAACAAAACATTCATTCACTTCAAAACTGAGATAATACGTACAAAATGTTCGAAACAAACAAGATTGGTTATTGAATATTGAAGTCAATCATTTTCATAAGACTGAGTAGAGTGCCAGACATCTAACCAACCAGCTGTCTGAGGAGGTCAAGTTCGATAGCAAGTAGCAGGAGGTAGAGAGCGATGCTTGCCCTCGTAAAATGTGGCCGCATTGAACCGCTTGGAGCGTTATTTAAATTTAAATTAATCGTTTTCAGCACCTGAAATAGAATAATTTAATTAAAATAAAAAATCAGTTAATATTTTTATGCGAAAAAAGACGTTTTAAAGAAACAAATCCAATAAAAAAACGCAAATGAAATAGTTTCCACACCTCAATAACTGCGAGGGACGACCAGTATGGAACCAGCAACAAGAGGAATCTTGGAGAATTCCACATTTCGACACTGTGGTAGTATATGACAGCTACCAAGGTTCCTGTGACACTGACGATGTGAGGGATGAAGAGGTGCAGGTGACGACCGCCAAGCATCTCGTCCGATAAAAATCCCGCCACTACCTGGCAGACGTTATCGCAAGTAAATAAACTGTTTTGGCAGAGACGTTATGCATACCATAGTTATGTATAATTCTCAATTACAATAAAATTCTAGATAACGTATTTAATAGATTCAAGAGATTTTGCAAAACCAATTTTTTTAAACCAAAAACTTATCAACTAAAAAATTTCTGATCAGTTTGGTAAAAGTCTCATTTTATCTAAGTACTACAATCAAAACAACAGTCTTTCTCTCATATCACAATTTCAACATTTACTATTATTCTCATTTTGTAAATTAAAAATCCAAAACTATTAAATCATAAATAAATCATTTTGACAAAAGTTATCTAAAAATAAAATTTATCTTTCAGCACTTCGCCGAACTTTGTATCCACCTGTATATATGGCTAACCTCGAACAAATTGATGATGATTAGTGTAAGGAATAGGAGCCACCTGACGATGTGATGCGGAAATCGGACCCACGTTTTAACGTGCATCGTTGCAAAGATGGATTTATTCCAGGATATCAGGACTGGAACTGCTATCAACACGAACAATATGTTAGGCACGAAACTAAGACCTGCAGAGTCAAGGAAAATAAATTACAGTACAGTACATGTGTCTTGGTCACTAGGAAACATATTTAATCAGGCAATTTAAATCAACCATACAATATGCCTTTTCAGAATTACCATTCAAATAGCACTCATTCCCAATGACTCCATGCTTGTCGATATGTGTCGAATTGAAGTATTCTCCACAAAAGGCAGACATTGCACTCAATAATCCAAATTTGATTAGCAGTTAAAAATAATTTTGGCAATTACAAAAATAATTAATAGCTTATTTAGATCTTTATGAAAAATTTAATTTAATATCTTCCGATATAATAAAACATTAAAATTAATTTAATATTAACATAACATTAAAGCGTGTTTCATGTTTTTAATTATAATCATATTACAGAGTCACTGATTTCGTTTTCTCATGCTCGTTGAGAAAAAATGGAATTGAGAACTTTAAAATTGACTACTAAAATTAAAATTCGATTTCCCATCAACGCATCTTTTTTACTGGTCGTATGATGTAACTGCAGCGTCACAACTTCTACTGCAGCCAAATCAATAATAGGCACGCACGCACACAATTTTATACACGCTTACTATGCCATTGCACGTTATATATCCAAATTTTCCTGCCTTAATCCTTGTGTACCAATCCATACGGCTATGAAAAAGCGCGCGCTTACACGGAAGAATATGTTAGCTTTTGGTCTTACTGTGATAAAACTGAAAAATTCCAACATCAAAAAACCAAAGGCAAACATTAAAAAGCTTTGTTATAATTATACCATTCAAAAACGTTTGCCTCACGTTTAAAACGATTAATGCTCTGAACATTAATATTCTACACTAAAAATCAAAATGGCATACCCATTAACTAGATTTTTTCATTTGAGGCATTCAGTTTCACATTATATTTATTCCTCAAGTGTAGCTATTCTTTAGTCATCGGTCGGTTGGTCATTAAGCCAATTTAAGTTTTGGGCTAAAACTCCCTCGATAAATGCGTAGTATGCAACACAATGAATTTTGTTTTTGAAAGCATTGAAAGTTAAATAAAATGAAAAACAAGCAGACATGGCATAAATATAATACAAAATATTAATTATAAACAAAAGCGGTTGTTCGATTTGACATTGCGTTCATTGTATCATATTTCGTTTATCTTCAAGACGAACTGTGACAATTGGTTAGGTTATTTATAACGATTTTTCTGACGGCAGTTGAACGCTGCCAGGACAAACTGTGCAGATATTAGAAGCCAAACCACTTGCCAATATTCAAATTCCATTTTATTAAATATCGCAGAGAAACATTCTGTGATATGTCTTAACCGCGAGCAAATGACAGCACATGAAAGAAATCGTTTCGAACGCACAACTACCTATGAAGGACGTGATTCATGTCAGAAAATTAAATACGGCTTCCGTCTAGCTATAGCTATCTATGTCTATCAATTTTTCTATATCATTTCATTTTGACAAAGTTTAGTAGAAATAGGTATTTGTGCAGACAAGTATCAAGATATTATAGATAAGACATAGATAAGATATTAAACTAAAGAATAAGAAACAATATTATTTCGAATAAAAAATCATAGTCGAACAAAAATTTGAAGCAAATTTAATTTTTATTTTTCTTGAAATGTAGTTTGAGCGCAAAGCACTAATTCAAAATCTCAAAACAGAATATTGAAAAATTCAGGTCAGTATTATAAAGGGAAGAAACGATTAACTCAAAATATTGTCCATACAGCGATACAATTATCGTCTAATAAAAAAAATCAGATGTGTCCAGAAAGACTGCCAACGACAGCAACAACAACGTCGTTGAACGAAATTTCTTTAACGCTTTCATCCCACTAAGGACAATATGGCGCATATCTATTGAAAATGAATACACTGGCATAAACAATCAGCTGTTAGCGATGGTTCCAAAAGAAATAAAAATTCCTAAATAATTAATGAACAACCTCCGACTACGGCAATTATTTTTGAGATTGTCTTGACGTCATTATTGAGAAAATTATATGTTGTGCAGTTGCACCTGTAATAACCAGTTTTGAAGAAGATGATATAGTTGTTGTGAATTGTGAACGAAAACATTTTTTGCTTCCCCGTATCACTGAGTCTAACGCACGAGATATCATATTTATTGGCTGATGACGCATTACAGTAAACACGCCTGTTTTTCACGGCAACTTCATCGCTATAGCTGAACACTACCTGGTTTTCTGGTACTGCAATTTCAAATATAAATTAATAAGAATCAACACATACAGTTTTTTAATAATTAAATACAATGTATCTGCAAGGGAATGGTTTTGACTTCCGTATAGTTGAAAGGAACTTGCAGTTTCTTGTAGCTCCACCTACAAGAGAAATTATTTGATCTGGCATCAGCTTTAACCATTACATCGGCATGCATAGTGTATAAAAGTGAATCATCAGCTTTAGTGAAATGATACGTCTTAATGACATTTTTTCCATTAAAAAACGTTATGTCATTCCTTGATACTTGCTTTCCTAAACCCACTTCAACTGAACATAATAATGATATAAAATCACCACTAGTAACATTCACATCTGGAGTTATGACAAAAGTCAAATTGTTTCCTTGAAAAGTAATAGATAAAACTGGTGATGCAGCCAAGATTAAATTGTATAATGTATAATAGACTGATATCACAGATTTAATTTGACTCACTTATAACAACAAGCATCCGTCTGTAAATTTGATTACTGAACTGGAGATAAAATATGCCAGCCTGTTCTAACGATGCCTTGAAATTCTGACCTAAAAGTTGATGCTCTGCTGGTTTCCATTCACACACTTTGCATTTTTTATCAATGATAACATCACTCCAATGAACAAATTCCCCTTCATTTTTGAAAACCGTTACAAGATCATTCTGTGTAATTCCATAATCTTATCAATGTATGAAAAAATGGTTAATCATATATATATATATATATATATATATATAGATATTATTTATTTAAAAATTTATAGCACTAATTTTGACTTAATCATCATTTTAAAATAAAATAATGATTTACAGTTAATAAATTTTTAACAAAATAATTATTATATAATAATTATATTAATTATTATAACAAGACAAGCTGCAAGTTTAAAATTAAATTTCCAAAGTTTATTTAACAATGAAGGACAAAAATGAATAAAATAATAAAAAAGGGCAAAACCAGAGATCTGTCTGTTAAGCATATGTCTTGAACTTAATTAATGTTAATCTACTAAACCAATCCTTGACAAAATTTTTCTGATATAATAATGTAATGAGGATCATATTTTAACGGTCAACAAAATCTGTTGTGTTCGTTCTTCGTTGTAAGTTGTGTAATAAATCGACAAGTGTAACTTAACTTTTTTTAATATTTTAAAGAACTACTGCTAACCTTACTCGCAAACATGTCTGATCTCCAGTTTCGCCAAACAATAGTAACGAAATAGCTACAACAAATTGTAATAAAAAATTTGCCCAATTTCAAAAAAAAACTTTTAGTGATAAAAATTAAAAACCTAAGCAGACAAGGAACGCAAAGGAAAGTTTGAGTGCCGCCATCCCATCGGTTTTTTAAAAGTAACATGCTGAAAATAAAGGGCGCGTACTAATAAAACTTGGCTATTTTAATTCGATATAAATGGCTATTTCAATTAGATATTAATAAACTACTCGATGAAAGTAAATAAATTTGGCAGCATCCTGTTCCGATACTGATCGTATTTACGAGACATTAATTAAATGCTAGTAGCCATATTCATTAAGAGGTAACCGGTAAACAAGTTCAACCGATCCAGGCTTAAAACCGGATTTTATAAACAGACAAAAACTATCCTTAAGCCGTCAAAATGTAACAAGCAACTCCACGAAAGAAATTAAAAACCGTCACTTAAATTCGAATACTTTTAGCCAGTTACAAACTTTAAATAATAATTTATTGATTCATTTATAATTACCTTTATTTTCGTTCCAAGTAAAATCATCTTAAAAATTAACATTAAAAACATCTCTAGAAAATACTAACGCGCTAAAATTAACCAAACGAACAACCAGACACACAATATATGATATATGACACAAATCAATTATAAAAATAAAATAAGTTTAAATGGGTAACAAAAGAGATGCATAGTGTTGAAACAATCATTATATAAAAATAATATCAAAAATTTATTTGCTTAACACTTATGTATATGTATATATATATATATAATATATATATATATAAATATGTGTGTGTGTGTGTGTGTGTGTGTGTGTGTGTGTGAGTGTGTGTACGTCCTACCTCGGGGGAACTGGGTCTCTGGACGCTAAACGAAGATTGAATGATTGATTGATATGTGTGTGTGTATGTGTGTGTGTACGAATAAACATGAATAATGAGAAACTATAAAATGTTATATGAATGCATAAATCCGAGGAATATTTGTAAATAAGTATGTATGTATTGAAATTTTATGACAATGGTACAGAAAATTAAAATTAATTAGAATCGTGAAACTTATTTGCAATGAGTTAACTCGCAAAGGCACTATAAGTTATATTGAATGTTGAAAAAAACGCAATCAACATTATGACTACGATAATAATAAAAATAACGAAGGCAATGAATAGTTTTAAGTGAAATAAATTTATCAAGTAAAACAAACGTAGCCAAGTGTTTACGTCCTTCTTTCAAATATTTTGAAAAATTGAATGCCATTACACAACTTGAACTACAAATATTTTAAAAAATTAAAGACATGCAAACACAAACTAGACAATCAAACCATTTTGAATAAGAAATGATTATTCATGACGAAAAAATGTGAAGAAAGTACATAAAGAAATTGGAGAGAGAGAGAGAGAGAGAGAGAGATAAGGCAAGGAATGATGAAAGTGATCTGATGCAACTAATTTACATATCTTGTTTGAAGCTTGCCACATTAGCGTTGTTGTTGCTGCTTCTGTTGTTGTTGGTCAGTGATTGACTGGAGCCTGCTTGAAGTTGGGCCTGCATGCGGTTCAGCATCTCTTGCATTCTTCGCAACTGTTTGTTTGAATGTTTCATTGTAATGTGTCAGTTTACATAATTTATGATGGATCAACAATCTCACTGAGATAATTTTCCCTATGAAAGATTATTTTTTAAAACAGTAGCACACACGCTTATCAAAAACAGACACCCGAAAGGATAATCTTAATTAATCACAGTTTGCACAGTTTGCCGAGGAGTTCCCTCCCTTAATAGACCAAACGACTAACTTAACAAGAATAGTAAATACGTTACAAAGAAAGAGTGAGTTGATAGAGCAAAATTAAATTTTCAAGCCATAACAAATAAAAAAACGTAAAATGAGCTAGCCACCCAAAAATTTTTTGCGATTCATGTATCTTTTAATTTTAAAATGTACGGACAACTTTGTTGGATGAAACTTTTTTTTAGTCAATTATTATTATCAAGCTTCAACAGCAAAGTATATTAAAAATGAACTAATACTTAACCAATTACAAATGTACTGCAAGAACAACAATAATCAGTCTGCAAACTTTTATGAATTTCATTATACATGGCAAGAGCTATCTAATATAATTAAAAATCGCCATATAAATAAGAATCGTTATATAAATATAACAAGTAACATAAACTTTTAAAAGAATATAAAAATTAAATAAAAATAAAATTATAGAAACTATTGGTACATAATTACAAGCTGCCAAAACATCACCTCCATCTCTTTTTCCCGAAGTTGTTTCTCAGTGACCCTGTCATCTTTCTTCCTGTATAGATTAGGAATTATCTAATTAGTGTATTTGTTTATTTTTTTCTTCCAATTTTCAGCCACATTCAACTGTTAGTGACACACGTGCAGGCACCAGCACGTCTGTGCAGCTAATAAAATCCTCTAGAGACATCAACAACAATAAATTTTCAAGACGTTCATAAATTCAGAAATGTCTAAAATTGTAAAGAGCAAAATCAAATGAAAATGAACATTTTAGAATTGATAAATGGTTATAAATGAATCATTAAAACGTTTAACATGAAATATCTTTGCAAACATTTTTGAATTTAAGAAAGAAAAACTTGACTTGTTTGTTGGAGATTGGACATTGTCAGGTGTTCCTGAGTCAGGCTGGTCTAACCTCGAAAGCCGATAGTTCTCGTAATGAACTTCTTGCGTCACCTCTTGAAGATCTTGCATGTGAGCCCTGAACAAGTCATTATATAAATGTTATCTGATGGAGTAACCATGTGCATGTTACTTAATATTTAATCATGTATTTATTTTATCATCTGATGATGCAGTCATGTTAAATGTAATTGTTAGATATTTATGTAATTGCACCAGATCATGCTAATTAATATTAGCAACTTAAAAAATACTCGAGAGCATATGTTAACAAAGCAATTAATTTTTTATCTGTAAAAAATTGAATTGTAATAAAACTAAGATAATAATAACCAGTGTCTCAATGAGAAATAAAACCAAATCATTTGGAAAAACATTGCAAAAGATCTATATTCTTCGAATGTACAATAATATTAAACAACAATATTACGAGATATGATATCTCTAATGACATCATCACATCACAGTACCACAGCCAAGCAACTAACACAAGCATAGTTCGCAGTTTGATGAAATCTGAATGCTCCGGGTTCTCGACCTCCACTACGCCCCACGGATACAGACGACCTCTGACCTTCTTACCTCGGATTTCAATGATTGCATTTGAGCCCACAACTGCAAACGGAACTGCTTCCTGTTTCATATTTTGAATAATTTTTTAAAATATGTTAAAAATTATATATTATTATTTAATTATAATAAACAGTGCGGCATAGAAATTCCAAACAAGACTGAAAAAAAAACAATCAATCGTTGGACATTTGCCAATGGAATTTGAGAAAGACCTGACGTCTTGTCATCCAGCCTTACTGGAGATAAAAATTGGCAAAAGTCGTCTGTACTGGAATTTATACATATATACAATGGAAGAAGATCAAATTTGTTGACCAAACCATGAAATGAAAAACATGAAAGAACCTTCAATTGTTGGCACTGCAGTTTATAATCCTCATCCTCATCATCGTCACATTCAGGTATTGGGTAGATTTGAATCTTGTGCTTCTCAATCTCACTCATTATCTGTTTGGTGTTCGTGCTTACATATAAGGTACTGAAGAAAGTAATTTTAAAAATTCATTCCACTAGAATTCATTCTATTAACTTCCATCCTTCAGAAATCTAGACACATCAAGCACAACAATAATTTGAATAATAATAAGTAGTACCAACAATTTTTTTCAACTTTAAAAGTTCCTGTTTGGTGAGTGTGTCAGCCTTTGCAATGACCGGTACGATATTGATCTTTTTGTCCAGCTGTTTCATGAATGTTATGTCCAGAGGTCTCAACCTGATTTAATGGGTGATCGTATATTATAAAAAATAAACAACAAACAAACAAACTACTAATTACCTTAGAATCTAATTCACCAATTACTTACCAATATATTTTATTTATAATAGGCTTCATTGAACCATGCAACGTTAGGCATTGTCAAACGTTAATTTAATAAGAACCAACAACACACAAATAATAATTTTAAGCAACATTTTATCCACCATCAAAAAGGTTAAATAAAATATTTTAAAAAAGTTACACACAGAGATGAAAAAAGTGAACAGAACAGTGGAACCAACCCATGCCCTACTGGATTAATGAAATAGAAGCAGCAATGAACTCTACTATCCATAATATTCCTCCTATTCAGACCACTTTCATCTTTCAAGAACTTATCAAACTGCTGATCCACGTACTGTATGATGCTCTTGAAGCTTTAATAAGTGCATCGTTCATTTTATTTAACAAATTAATTCAGTGTTGCAACAATGTTTCGTCCTCATAAATATTATAGAATATATTTTTATAGCATCATGATGTTTTGTTATCAGGTTATCAGGTTAGTTGAAGGTACTTAGAAATCAATGAATATATAAAATAAAAAAAAAAAATATCTCTGATAATTATAATTATGAATAGATCATTGAATATTGAAATGGCATCCATATAAAAGTACAAAACCACCACCTAACTAAGCAAATAAATGAACCAAGTAACAATCAATTGCAAGGTAGCAAAGAGTATCTTCCTATCCAATCATCCAACCAATCAACTAGCCAACCAACCAATCAACTAGCCAACCAACCAATCAACTAGCCAACCAACCAATCAACTAGCCAACCAACCAATCAACTAGCCAACCAATCAATCAATCAATCAATCAATCAATCAATCAATCAATCAATCAATCAATCAATCAATCAATCAATCAATCAATCAGTCAGTCAGTCAATCAATCCATCAATCAATCAACCAGTTAGGTAGCTAACCAACCAGCCAACTAAACAACTAACCAGCCAAGAAACTGAACAAGCCACCATACATCCAACTCAACAACCTACCAACCAAACATCCATTCCTACAATCAACCACACATTCATCCAAACAACTAATGAGACAATCAGTTAACCAAACAACCAGCCAAATAATTCAATCAATCAACCAACCAATCTGACGAATTAATTCCATCTCCAAAACCAGGAGTGTCTACGACAGTCAATTTGAGTTTCACTCCTCTTTCAACGATTTCAACCGTAGACGCTTCTATGCTCACTGTCTTTTTAATCTTTTCTATGCATTAAAAATATTTGGAACAACGACAATAATGAATGTTTAGTTGCATCAATTCATTCTAAAGTATGTTATGATTCTTGAAAAATAGATTAAACAAAAATAAATTTCCAATGATAATTTGAAAAAAAAAGAGTTTCCAAAACTAAATTTTTCTAACAAACATCCGACAAAAAAGTTAATAAAAAATAAAAAATATTGGACATAATTTGACAGGTAAGTAAAGAGAGATTACAATGCTTATGTCGACCAGGCTTCAACTTACGAATTGCTATTCCAAATTATTCAGAACTTCAGACATGTGAGACAAGAATCAAATCACAATGAGTATTTTTAAAGTAATTAAGAGTAATAAATAGTAGCAAATAAATATTTCTTTTTAATTAGTTTTTACATTACTTCCTATCGACAAGAAACAAAACAATTGATAAAATGTTAAGGGTACTCAAACAAAAAAATTTTTGAGCATATTGATAAGTGATAATATTCAAAATTTGAAACTTTAAAGCAATATTAACACAGAACAATGCAGACATGGTTCATATAAATTCCCAATTGAAATCATTAAACACTGCATTCAATGAGATGTTAATTAATTCTGAATGAATTCAGTAGAGAATCATTAACATATCAAGTCAACAAACTTGTACCAGCTCTATAACAGAAAATTAAAAACTTTCATTTAAATGATCCACTAAAAAACAACAAAAAATAAAGTAATTGTAGGCAAAAAGCACATAAAATAAAATTATAAAGATTAATAAATAAAATTAATGATAATAATAAAAATTATAAAACTTATTTTAAAATAACAATTAATATTATGGTAACAATGATCTGAATTCAAAATGATGATGATAGTAATATAATTTTAGTTTAAAAAAACCTGCAGCTGAAGGATGAATTTTGTCAGGATATAAATCTGTGAGGAACAAACTGTTGACTAAAGTTGATTTTCCAAGGCCAGATTCACCTAGAAAATGTTCAATAACTTAAGATCACCTTGAATGTGTGTGTATTTGTGTGTGTAAGTGTGTGTGTGGGAATGTGGTGACCAATTCATACAAACATACAAACAACATCTTTTATTAATAATTATTAATAACTTAATCACATAACTGACCTACTACCATTAATGTAAACTCGAATCCTTTCTTCACAAACTTCCTATGGACCTGGTTAGGTAAGTTTGCAAAACCAAGATAGCCGGGAAGGTCTGGATTTACAAACTATTTAACAAAACATCAATCTATTATTTATTATTTACAAAAATATTTCAAATATTTTTTTTAAATATGATTGTAAAATTTAAAATAAAATTAGCAACGAGTGTAGTATAAAATACTATTAATTAAAAATGAACATTTCAATTCAACTTACAGGACGAGATTCTGCAATCAGAAAACATAAAATTCATTAATAGTTTAATTAAATTATTAACATTAAACATTAATTAATTAAAATGTGTTTGACATTTGTTGTCTGCAGTAGGCAACTTGAAAAAAATTAAAAACTTTCTACATTATTAAATAAAATAAATTGAAATTAATTAAGTTAATTAAGGCTTAACTGTTAAGCTTAAAATTAACATTAACAATTTATTGAACATTTTAAATAAAATAATTAAAATTCATTAAAAATTAAATTATCAAACTGTAAATTTTTTTTTTAGTAAAATAAAGAAATAAACAATCATTATTAATATTAACAATTAATGTTAATCATTAATGTTATTAACATTTATAATTTTTAAAAGAATAGATAATTTATTTAATTTTACTATAAAACAAACTTACTCAATTATTACTTTTTTAATAAATTAATAATTTATTTATTTTCAATTTTATTAATATTAATATAATATAAATAAAATAATTAACAACCTGATTCCATTTGTGACTAATTAATTAACGTTCGAATCCCTGTGTATTTGTTTTTCCAACGATCGCAATGAAAAAACTTTCAAATTAGAAATAATTAATTTAATAGTTCTTACAAACAGCTTTCGAAAACCAAGATGCGACGACGAGTGGGCAAGGCAAGGTAACAAACAAACAATTCAATCCCGCTCCTATATGAATATGAAGAAGTAAATAAAGGATGTCACTGTTAGATCGATTTGACTTGTTTCGGAGTTTATCAGGAAGTTATGTTCGAGTTGTAATTTTTTGCCTCATTTGGCTGCGCTTTTTGAGATAGCACCACCAAATTTTGTATTAAAAATACTATTCAAAGACCGCTCATACCTAACAGTTGTGAAGGGGTAAAGCATCTGTAGATGATAAACGCGAATGGCTAATATGTGCTCAATCAATCAATCAATTAGTTTGTAAAGCGCTATTTCCGCGATGTTTAACCGCGATCCTCAGTGGATTTTGCAAACAAATGGGTCTTGAGATCCGCTCTGAACTTCGTGAGTGATGGAAAGGATTTGGTAAGGGCCTGAAAATGTTCGACCTCCAACCTCAATTAACACCCTAACACATGCAAATGTGAAGATGGACTTTTGTGGAGCCATTGTCTGGACTCAGCCGTTTGACGAATTTACTGCGTGTATACTGTAACCTGATCACACTTATACGGTATGGATGTGAAAGGCGCTGAAAATTTACTTTTTGTGGTAGGAGACAAAATTCATAATTTGTTTTTTTGTTTTCGCTTAGAGTGATTCTATGTACCTCAAACTAAATCTAATTCAAAGACTCCTAATTTTTTCATTAGTTTTATAGTCTAAGCCTTGTTTTTGATTCTTGCATGCTTCTTCATCTCAGATTAAGTATTGTTTAGGTCATTTTCATTTCTATGGAATAAAAAATGAGTACCATTCTTTGATGATCCAACTTTTCTCTTACTTATTACTTCATTAGTTTTATCTAAATTTGATTATTGTAATCCGCCCTACTATAGTCTTTCGATTCTCGATAATAACTAGTTTAATTAAAGCTATGAACTCAGCTGGTCCTCTAGTTGCTAGTGCAGCTATATTTTTCAAACTAAACATATCAGATATATTATATTATCAGATATAATGAAAACCCCGTTCTGCGATGGTCTTCTCGTCACTTTTTCCTTATTCGTGTTAAACATTCATACGCTAAATCTGTTTTTGCTATTTCACTTCTTCTCTAACTACCTCTCCACCACTTACGAAGCTCAGAGCGGATCTGAAGGCCCATCTGTTCGTAAAATTTATTGAGGAACGCTGTCGGACTGCGCAAAAATTACGCTTTAAAACCATTTGATTGATTGATTTGTGATAGTTAATGCTGTAAAGGTAAATGATAGAGATACCTAACCTATGTGATAGATGCTAAAACAGTTCAAACAATCAATCAATCAATCTTCGTTTAGCTTCCAGAGACCCAGTTCCCCGAGGTAGTACGTAAAACAGTTTAAACGATGAATTATTGTTATATTTACGCATGTTTCACGCCACACTTTTTTATGTGAACCTATTTTTTTTAGTG